TTTATTTTACAAACACATCTTTGCCTCAACAAACAAAGACCCATTCGAATTAATTATCCCTTTTTATCCGCTATTTTTATCTCAAATAAAAAAAAGCTCAATCCTGCGCGTGATCAATTCAAAGTGCAAAGACCAGAGGTGGTTGACTAGATCACCGTCACGTGCGAAACGTGACTTCGTTCTCCTGATGTTGTCGATACACGTGACCACAAACAGGCAGTCATATCTATTTAATAATCAAAATGAAAACCGAGCCCACTGTCTCATCGTTTCAATATTCAATATTATTCAACGATTCGTTTCCGCCCCGTCCACAATTCTTGCACATATGGCCCTCGTATCGATCCATCGCGAATAGTGTCAATAAGGAGCCATCAGATCCATTTACATGCATTTATGCGGTATATGCTTCATTGTAACGTGTCTAATATTAGCCTCAATCAGTGTCAATAAAAGAGAAAATAGCGCGACACACGCGCTATTATTTATCGTACGTAATGTACACGTGACACACGTCTCTTCGTCAATATATATATAAAGATATCTTGATCTTGAACGGGATTAATTCGAAGCGGGCATCTTCTCCAGAGAAACAAGGCTTTGCGCCCCTTCGTAAGTTGTTTCATTTCTTGATCGTATATCTCGGCGTGGATTAGCTGTATCGCGTAAAAAAAAAAAAAAANAAAAAAAAAAAAAGATCGTAAAAAAACTTAAACGAAACATTTATCATTCCATTGTACGCGATCGTGGTAGATTACAAATATAAGAGGGAAAAGAGAGACATTTCCATTCCACGGGCTGATCGTGCACCGAAAGAATCGAAGCTCCCATCCATATCATAACTCAAAAAAAATATTTACTACTACAAGAAAGATACTCGAGGATCAAGTATAGAGAGCAATTAAAAAAAAGATAGAATGCGTAATCTAAGCACGCAGAAAATACTTAAAGACGAGGAATGCTTCGAGATAATTCGCAAGAAGCTTCATAAAGATTCGATGGAGGATTTCTCGTTGATCACTTACGAAGTGGTGCCCATAGACGAGGTGAACGGTTTCATGGGCCAATATTTCACCTTGAAAGCAACTGTCGCTTCTCCTCAATCACCATTGGAAACGAGGAACATCAACTTCTTCACGAAATTGCCACCACCGATGACCAGTCCCCTATACGATTTCATTCAAAATTACGGTGCTTTCAAGAAGGAGGTTGCTCTTTACACTACGGTATTCCCAGAGGTATTGGACGGTCCGGACAAAAGATACATTCCAGAGTGTTTCCTTGGCCTGGAGGACGACGTGATCGTACTGGAAGATATGGCCCATTGCGGTTACGAGATGACTGACAAGTTCAAGCCGTTCGATTTCGAGCATTGCAAGATTTTGATGAAAACATTGGCAAGATTTCACGCGAAATCATTGATCTTCGAGGAATTATATCAGAAGAGTCTACACGACAAATACTCTCATTGCATGCAAGAAACGCTGTGGCCTCTGAAGGATGGCCGCGCCAAGGCCACGTTCGACGCCGCCGTAAAAGGTATCGTTTCATTGATAGACTTGATACCAGAGTTGGACGAGGAGCAACGGAAAACGTTCAGCAAGAAGGTTAATGACTTGTGTGCCGATCATACCAACAAATTGTTGCCGTCTATGAAGCACAAAAACGTATTATGCCATGGCGATCTATGGGCAAATAACATTTTGTTCAAGTACGACATTGATGAGAAACCTGTGGAATGTTGCCTTATCGATTTTCAACTTGCCAGGTAATTCATAATGTATCGTTTATAAAAGATTAATTTTGAGTGAAACTGTTGTGTTTTTGAATTAATTGTGACTAATAAATATCTTTTAAAGTTAATTAGATTTCAACGATAATATTTCAATGATAATTTTTCATCGAATTGATAATATCAAAAAATGATTTTTATTGTTTATAATATTTTAATAATATTCTCACAGATTAAGAAATGAACTAGAATATGTAATAATTATTTTATAATTAGAAAGGCAATGATTACGTGAAAAAATAAAACAAAATTTTTGCATTTGAAATCTTGATTTTTAAAAAATTAAATTTAAAAATTTGTCAAATATAAAAGAATTTCTCAGTTAAATACAAGTTAATAATCGATAGAAAATTCTAAATGTAAAAATAGTTAAAAAAAACGTAGTATAAAATTTTGTAATTTTTTTACAAAGTTTATTTAATAAGCCTTGATTGTTCGAGAATGAAACTTTAAATAAAAAAATACATTGTATGATGGTTATTGTATATAACATTTGTTAGAAAATTCATTAAATTTATGCATGTTTCAAAATAAAATAGATAGATAAAATTAATAAAATAATTATATAAAAAAATAGAAAAAAGACTAAATTAAAATTGATTTTAATTAATTAATATAAATAATTTTATTTTTAAGAAACTGTAAATTTCAAAACATATTTAATAAATAGAAATTATTTAAAATCTAGAAACTTCAAAATTATCTGAAATACAAAAAAATTTAAATTCTAAAACTTACAGAAATATTATTTTTGTTTAACTATAATAATGATTCAATTGAATTTGAATTCAGACATTAGACATTTTTATTAGCTCGAGTTTATCATTTCATTTAGAAAAAAAAAAATTATAAAAATTTTTCGCTATTATTTTCTGACAACGAAATTAACTTTGAAGAATTTCAAAAATTAAAATTTATTAAAATTTTAATCCTTAACAAGACACAAAAAAGAAGAAAAAAAAACTATTACATATAGATATTTCAAGAGTTTTTCAAAAATTTCATAAAATTTCAGATAGAATCTAAAAAAAAAACCATAGATGATCCATCCATCTATATCTGATAAATATTGTTTCTGTTCAGATACAATCCACCAGCTCACGACATTCTTTGTTTCCTCCAATTCACAACGATGCGACAACTGCGTGAGAAACACGGCAAAGAGTTGTTCAAGATTTATCACGAATCAATGACCGAGGCTCTGGAGGAAGCTGGTTTGGACATTTCCACCGTTTTCCCCTGGGACGAGTTCTTAGAATCCATTGAGGATTTACGTGTAATGTGCATCATTCATGGTGTGTTGAACATACCGATCATGTTGTTGGAGTCCGCAGCTGTCAACAAGTATTTCTTAAACGAGCCAGAACTTCTGGAAAACATTCTCTACGTGGACAGAACACCTTTGCTTTGCGAACAAATGAAACACGTACCTCAATACCGTGACAGAATAATGGATACCCTGCTAGAATTATACGATCATGTTGCTGGTTAAAGAGATCGATCGAATCGAATCGATACAAATGGAAATTAGAAATTTTTATCACTGTAGAATATCAGAGATCACGCATCAACACTAGTCGCTAACTTGGAAAGTAAGCGGCAAGAATAGGGAGAAGTACATAAAACACTGAAGAAATAACACGATTGATTCAAATAATAAATATGTTAACAAATCACATTCTATTCAAAGAAAAATATCGTTGACACTAATTGTTTATTTATTTTCGATGTTTAAAGCGGTAGGAATATGATCACGATGATTTTTTGGCTTTTTATAGTTTCTGTCTCGACGTTAGATTAATTTTTTTATATCTTTCCATTATTTTATTTATAATCAAGTGAAATATTAGACGAACGATTGTCTTTTATTTTTATAAAAAAATTAGGAATTATTTAGTAGATATTTATTTTGTTTTTATTGTGATTAACATTTGTTGTGACTAACATTTGTTGGAATTGTTTAATATTTCGATATTTTGTATATATATTTAATCGTTAATATTCAATGAAAAAATTATTTTACAATTATACGAATGATACGTTTGAAAATTGTAATTATTTTTTTCATCACAAGTAATATATCATTAGATTCAATGAATACGTTATCGACCGAATCAACACTTGACATTGATTGAATTAAATTGTACAAATGAAACGTGCTTGATGGAAGGATTTAATTTAAAATCGTTACTATTATTATTATAATAATAGTTAATGTGAAAAGTTATTTCATTGTTATTAAAATAAACAAAATATGCTGAAACTAAATTGTACTTGATTTTTTAAATACTAACTTAAAATTTTAAATATTAAGAAATTATAAATAATTATTAAATATAAGGCATTAATATAATATATTCATGATACATCTTTGCAGGATAAATTCTAGAAATCGAAACAAATATAAAAGCTTATATGTAAAATTATTAATTAAGGCATATTTATTAAGTTATATAAGATTTAAATTGGATGAAGTGAGATAGATATATGTGTAGTGAGATAGAGATGGCGCTGATGAAGCTAAGATATCTCATTCTATCTCCATCTCACTTGGTTCAAAACAAACTTTAATTACTTATAATTAAATAAATTATAATTTAAAATTTCAACCAACATTTTTGTGTATTAATTTTTATATTTATTTTTATCTATAAAAATCAATTATTTAAAGATAATATTCTTACGAATTAATTAATATTAATCTTATAAATCTAAAAAATCTATAATTTTACATTAAGAAAATAATTTAGTATTTTTATATTAAGTCACTTATAATTCTAATTTATAACTATTACAACTTAATTAACATCTTAAACTATCAGTGCAAATCACTATGAATCGATTAATATTGAATTTGACAAATGGTAAAGATAGTTCATTAGATTTATCAAATTTATTTAAATCGTTTCAAAATTATTTGACAAATATCTATTTTTAAAAATAGGAAAAACGCAAAAAAGCATTGATATTTTCACTACCTTAAAGTTTTTTTTTTTTTTTTATTAAAACTTCGAAAACAAAGTTACGAAAGTAATGACGAATATTTCAAAGAATAAAAATTGTACAGTTTCCTTTTAAACAAATGGTAATTTTATTTTAAGAAGACATTGAATTTTTAATATATTCTATATTTGTGTTTATTTCTCTTTTTTTTATATCAATTACATAAAATAAATTCAAGCACTAAGGTATAAAAAAACTCAAAAGCTTAATTTTATGTATATAATTATTTATATCATCAATTATAATGAATATATAGTTATATACAATATTGAATCTCATTCTTTAACAATAACATCAACAACATGATTAAACAACGTTCCTCATTGGTACACAAATTGTAAATGTACAGATAAAAAAGCATTAGATGAGGTCAATGAGGCATCGAAGGTGGCGTACGCTCAGCGCGCCTTAATTTTTTTTTTCTCTCTTTATACATTTTATAATTTCCATATATATTTCGAATCATTTTGGTATTTTGTTCGATTTGTTTTTTTTTCCTTTTTTTTCTTTTTCTTTTAACGTTAATTGTATGTATATATGTAATATAATTATTTATAATATATAATTATATTACATATATATATATTTCGTTTAGATACACACGTCTCACATACACACAAATGCGCCACGTGTATCCGTGCGACGCACGAAAATACGATTACGGGTGATGATATCGATTGAATCGGTGCATGATTTAATTATTAAAGAGAGTGCATGAATAATTTGTATCTCGCGAGTAGCCAGGCACCAGTTTCTTTTCGAGAAAGAGAGAAAGAGAGAGAGAGAGAGAGAATGTGTATCTGTCTGTGTGTATGTGTATGTGTGTGAATGAAATAATAAGTATAAAAAAATAATCATTTATTTTTCTTACGTAAAAACTCGAACTAAATGTGTATAACTGTAATTTAAAGGGAAAAAATAATAAATATTAAGAATTCAAGAAATATTCACCCTTTTATCAAGTAAAAATTCTACTGCCTGGCTTGTCCCACGCGACGCAAATCTCGACCAATCATCTAAAACTCTACACAAGGCTCCGACAAATTTCTTTTTTTTTTTTTTTTTAATCACTTAACGAACGATTTCCACAAAATCTAACGCGCAAACTTTTGTTTTCATTATATAATCGCATCAAGGCGAGGCAGGGTCATCGAGAGTCCTCCATCTTGATTTACGCGATTCTAAAAGCCGCTAAATTCGTCAAACAATTATATGAGAATTGACTTTTACGAACAAACTTTTCTCCTCAAAAAACAAGATTGTTCGATTACGAATTGTAATTTGTTTATTTTATAAAATATGCGTTTCTTTCGTCCTTTAAGATATTTTATGCTCGCTCCTCGAGAAATCGAATTTTTATCAAATCAATAAACGAATCTAATCTGTCTTTTGCGTTTCGATACTTTTTTTTCCCCGTTTCCTTTTTTTTTCTTTTATGAAATTTTCATCGTGGAATTGCCGATGAAGTAGTAGAAAGAGTTCATTACAATTATGATCGTTCTTTGTTACGGTTCTCATTGTTTAAAAGATTCCTCGAAGTCCGATGCAAAGTGGTCAGTTTGGAAAAGAGAAAAAGAATAGTACTGTCCATATAGCGAAGAGGATAACAATAACATATAAGAGAAGTTTCGTAATTAATCATTGGAAATGTGATTTTCGTTCGCTTTTCATAGCTAGTTGTGACTCACTTTCAGCTTTATTTATTCTTTATTAATTTTTGAAATTTACTATAATATTTCGATAATTTTAACTTTATCGTGATAATATGTCTCGATATCATGTCTCGATACGAACACAAAAAAAAAATATATAGCATTTGAAATTTTATAATTAAGTAAGAAAAATCGATAATCAGTTGATCATATAATTGACTCGATATTTGAAATAAAACTAAATCTTCGTTTGCTATTATTCGATCGATATGAGAAGAATAAGAAAGCCGAAAGCGACTCATTGACAATCATTCATTTTTATCGTTATCATAACATTAAATTCGCAATCGATTAAAGGAGCGCATTTAAATATCGATTTTGACATTGATTAAAAAATAGAGAGAGATCGATCGACATTCTTCGTATCGCGGATCGATACAAAGTAATATAACAAAAAATCAAAAATAGAAAAAAAAAAAATGAAAAAATACTTGGAAATCAGGAGCAACGAATGACACTTATTGCGGCTGATGCTGTACATTGCTGATGTTTAGTTATTATAATCTTCTTTTTTTTTTTTTTCTTTTTTTTTACATTCATCAAGCTATCCGATTCGCACGCCTCACCGGCCCTTCTCGCCTTAATCGAGCCATACATAGAAAGTTATATACAACGATATAACACGAACTGCAGTGGCAGTGAATAGTGCATATGGATATATTGCAAACAGTAGCAATGGCGGTGGCGGCGGCGACTCGTAATCGCGATACACGGCAGCGTCTACCACAGCTACTTTTTTGTATTCTCTCTTCTCCCCGTTAATATCGATCCGTTGCGTCCCATTTGCACATTTTTTTTTTTTTTTATTATTATCCCGTAAGTTAGTCTGAATTTTAACGATCGAGCACAGAAACCGATGCTTTTTTCAACGTATATCATATTGGTCGGATCACACGATATTTCCATTTCCTTTACACTCCCCGTGTTACTTTACTTCCGCACGCGCGAATCGTTTCCCCTGGTTTCCTTTTTTTTTTCTCTCCCCCCGTTCTTCTTTCTTCTCACGCATTTCGTCGATGTAATATCACTTTTTTTTCTATTGTGTGTGCATGTGGTGTGTGTGTGTGTGTGTGTGTGTGTGTGTCTATGCATGTGCGCTGCGCGCGTGTACATGAAAGAAAGAGAGAATGCGCGTGTGTGCACGCATGTGTATCTTAATGCATGTGTATCTGTGAATCCATACCGTGTGTGATTGTGTTGCCATATTACATGCACTCGTACGTATTACTTTTTTTCTCTCTCGTATGTTATATCATTACGTGTGCGTGTTTCAGTCATGTACAGTGACAGAAAAAAGGGGGTTGGGGCGGAGTGGGGGAAAGAGCAAGGAAGAAGTATTTGTGTATAGGTGTATCTGTGTATTTCTTATCTTTTTTTTATGTATATTTTGTATGTATATATCTTATTTGATCCATTTGTTTGTTTGTTTTTTTTTACATACATACATATATATACATATACATGCATACAGACATATATACATACATACATACGTGTATACGTATATGGATGTATGTACACATATGTACGTTCGTATGTACACACTCGTGAGTTTCATAAAAATATATAAAAGAGAGTGTCTATGTATACATATATATGTGCATATATACTTATAACGTATATTTAGCCATATCGATACATAGTCGATTAATATTCAATTTGTGTGGAAAAGGGTGTTTTTTTATCGTAATTATTATATATATTCACACATATACATACATACATATATACACATACACACGTGCATGCATACACGCGTACACACATGCATATCTACATACAAACATACACACGTGCATACATATACGCATGTATAAATATGTGTATATACACATTTATAAATATGTGTATATACGCGTACATAGATACGCGCATACGTATACAATTATATACACGTATGTATATACATGCATAGATGTATACATTCATACATACATGTGTGCATACATAGATACATACATACGCACATACGTGCATAAATTTATACATAGATACATACATACGTACGTACCTTCATACGTACATACATCCATAGATGCATACACGTTTATGTATAGAATCTGTACAAAGTGCTTGATTGAGATTTTTTTATCATTAGCCGCAAAAGAAGACACTCAAGGTAAAGTTTACATATAGTCCTGCACTCCTGTTCGTATCTATCTTTTGTAACGCTGCACATATCATTTGCAAATTGTTTCATCTAAAACTAAGCATACGAGGTGATTGTTGCATGTATAACAGACTATAACCTTTTTCTTGATTACACAAAAATTGAAATAAAAAATATATCATACATACATAATTAGCAAATAAATAGCTAAATTAATATTCGTTTCTTTTAGAAATATCGTGACGTTTATCTATAATATTTATTTATATTTGTTTCGTTAAATGCAAATAGAAAATATAGTGCTTTGTATTATCGTTAATCCTTTTTCATTATTTATGTAAAAATGCTGCAATAATGGAATAAGAAGATTAATATTTTACAAGCCCATTTAGAGAAATAACATATGTGTATATACATAACCGTGCTAAATATTTTATTTTTCTGGTATAGATTTATATAATTAAATATGATATCAACTTTTTATTGCATAATACATATGTAATTACAAAAAAAGTTGCAAATCACGTTTAAAAATCACGTATTACATTTAATAATATAAATATCTTTATCAGTGAACTTGCACACTGATTATAGAGTGTTATATAAACTATTTATTTCAATATTTCTGTATTTATAAATCAAGAAGAGAACAGAAGAACAGAGAAGTGTACATAATCATAATAAAATTAGATATACAATGATAAAATTGCAAATATCCTAAATCATATATCACACTTCTTATAAGTCTTTCATTTTCAGAATAAAAGTTGTTGTCTGCTCTAGTTGCACGAATCACCTACATACATACGCATATACAGATACATGTACATATATGTATACATATTTCCATTTGCTGACAAGGCAAGATACAAAATCACGATACAGGAGACGAACACACGACTGTCTTTGCAAAGTGAACAATGCATTTACAATGAAAGGACCAAAACAGTAGTTCCTGTCAGTGTGATTTATATCTCAATCAATAATCGTATTTCTTCCTCTTTCCTCCTCGTTCCGCATTTTCGCTTATAGTTTACCGTCAAATGACAACATATTCACCTGTTCTGTACCTATTTACATATCCTGAATGAGCTACAGCGATGGTATACGTTAAGTCGCGAAGGCGATTACAATTCCTTAGCGATCAGCCTTGAAGATGTTCTCAAGCATTTTTATTAAAGCTGTTTTGCTTCGCATTGTTTTAAGTATATCTTTTTTTTTTCTTTTTCTGTTTTCTTCCTGTACTTCTTCTGTATACTGCTGAATGCATAAAGAGGCGTGGATATACACAACCGTTTTACGCTTCAGAGATAAGCCCGTTCAGTCCTTATTCAGCCTTCCTTCTCGAAGACGTTATTATTTCTTCGTCTTACGAAGATTTAGAAAGCTTAACGTGTAGCTACCCTCGGACCGTTTTTCATCATACCGCATCCCGGTATCCCTTTTGCCGTTTCTATATTTCTTTCTTCCTCTTGCAGATTATTCCTCTTTCCTCCTCCTTCTTCCTTCTTTCTCTCTTCACATTTGTCATGATGCTTCTTTTTTCTTTTTCTACATTATTTTTTTTTTACCTTCTTTTTCTACTCGTTATCACAAACAAGCCTCAACGTAAAAAATGTTCGAACACGATGTGAAAATAAATCACGCAGCGATAAATAGCAAAGAACAGAGAAATCTGTTGGACATACTAGAGGAAAACCGAATCAGTTATATGTAAGTATCGACGAAATTTTCACCGGTGACACATGTAACCAGCGGGAAAAACGGACGTGTTGATGATACGTTTCTATGGACGGGGTTTGCGATAATTATTCGTTGAGGGCATCGTACCATAATGCCAGCTAACCTAGACTAGGGACGACGGGCGGCATGATGGCTTCCTTTGCATGATTAGATATAGGAATAAGGTCCGTCGGTGAGGGCGCTACACAGCAACAGTCAGGAAGCATCATCTTTTCCCCGAGCTCCTCTGCTCGGCTTATATTCCAGACCTGGGTCAAATTGCATCAGCACGAAAACCTATAAATTATCGAGAAGAAAAAATAAAGAAAAAAATAAGAAGATTATATATATATTAAAAGATAATATTATTATCTTATTGTATAGAAAATATATTAGATTAAATAAAATATTTTTTTGATTATTTGTATGTATAGTTATGATTTGAGAAATATAATAGAGAATTAACAAGTTGCAAACTGATTATTAGATTGTAAATTATTCTCTTTAAATTATTTTAATATTAGAGAATATTTAATAAAATTATTTAATGATTTTAAACATTTTAGATACATTTAGAAAATTAAATTTCAGAATGATTCATTTTAATTTTAATTATAAATTCGTGAAATCTTTAAGATTAATTAAAATAATTATCAATCTTTGCATTCTAATAATATTTTTATACCTGATCTGTAGGCAATAACGTGAAATCATCTGGAGGATTTGTAATGACGTATCGTTTAGAAGAAGCATCGCACGATGAGCTTGTATCTCGAAACCTAAAATTGTATCAAGAATTAGTCGAGGTACACTATTTTTGGCGTAAACATAAACTTACTTGTTAAGCTAAGTACATTAATATGTACGATTAAACTAAACTAAAACTAAAACTAAAACTAAAACTAAACTAAACGCTGGCAACAGTAAACTAAACACTAAACAAATAAGTGATACAAAGACAATCATAAAAAATGATGAGTATTTGTTGGATGAAGGCAACTTACGATCGTCGCTTCTTTTTTTTTTTTATTTGTTATGACGCAAAAACGCAAAATGCAAAAGTGTGCGGCAAAAAACCAAAAGTTATAGTAAGTACAAGAAATAGTGAAAGATAATTAATGGCAATATAATTAATATGGCAGCAAGATGAAAGATTTTTCAGAAGAAAGATATATATACATATATATATATATGCATATATATATATATATATATATATATATATATATATGTGTGCTATAGAATATTCATGTGGTGTAATCCAATAAATACCATCGAGAGAAGGAAAAAAGTCCGGTACCTGTACCTGTACAGACCAATGCACAGCATTCCATATGACTTTAATGCTGCGACAAAGAGGTCACCGTACTTGCCTCCTTCGCCATACTGGGCTAATGGCCCGTCGTATAACGCGATTTGACCAACTCGACATCGATCTCTATTGGCCAAACTATCAGGTGTGCTATGGATAAAGAAATAAATAATAAATCATAATTTTTCTTTTACAAATAAAAAAATATTAATATTTTCGTCTTTATGGACAAGATGTCTCATCGTTTATATAATATCATGAACATTGATGTATCATAAAATGTCATAAAATATTATATATGATATTATAGATGAAATATTATGCATAAGATTGTAGCTTGTACAATATTATGAAATATATCATGTATCATTAATATGTATTGTTAATTTTTTAAGCAGTTATGTCATATATTATATATGTGTCATGGCCAAAATTATTATATAGCTTAAATAACTAATATATTCATATTATAGAAATTTTTATATAAATATTCATTTGATATATAATTCAGAATAATTTGTGCTACTGTAAAATGAATACTTTTAGTAATGGCCTACTTTTAGTAGAATCATAATAATATTTTGCAAAATTTATGTGATATTGTGATGTTTCATTATTCATTATGGTATGTTTTGTTTCAGACGATAATAAAAATAACAAGAAATTAAAATTTTTGCAAAAATATAATCTATCGTTTATTTTCTTGATTTTGTAAATAGATGCTTTATCAATTTTCAGATATAATATATTCTAATAAAAGATATATGAGATATTATGAAACATTATAGCATCGTATAAAAAAATATGACATTAAATATTTCCTTTTTATTGTCCAACTATAAAGAAAAGCAATATTTACTGAAAATTCATTTGATGAAAATTAATATAAAATTTAATGGCTTTAATTAACATTTTATGTAACACAATTACTGCTCTTCTTATTTATATTTGCTAGTTAAAGACAATAAATATTTTATTAATTTTTTCAAGAAAATATTACGTTATATTTTAATACTATTTAATATCAAAATAAAATACAAAATATTATATTATTTTATAATTATTGCTTTTTTCTATAATTGGATAATATAGAATGAACAATATGATAATAAAAAAAATTAATTAAATCTACATTTGAATAAATTTTAACTATCTTACCTATAACCTCCTCGTAAACCTGCTCCTTCAGCAAGAATTAATTCTAACTCAGGCGTCGCTCCACCAGTGATTAGAGATCGAATTAAAGTCAGCGCGTTTTGATTGAAATACGTCTGTCAAAAGAAGAAAAAGGAAAATAAGTAAAAAAATTAATATATAGATATAAATTACGAAGTCAAACCTTTCTCCTAATGTACGATAAATAAATGATAATATATGCGATAAATTGTCTATTAAATATTAACATTTTCACGATCAAAGAATGCAACTAACCGTCGACATTAATGAATCTAATACGCTGACGGCAAAGGCAGTACCGCAAGCAAACGGTTGGGTAAGGTACAGTTCTGTGTCCGGATCATCGTCGTCGTCCTGGTCAAGGAACTGCACGTTGCTATCGTTTACGAGTTCTATAATAGAAAGAAAGCTTTAAGGATGTATCAATATTTTTTGATAAAGTATCATTCTATTTTTTATATACATATTCTTTGCGTAATAATAGCTATTATTTATTAATCAAAATTTCAAGTATATTATTTATTAAAGTAAAATAAATATCTAATTTTATAAATATTAAAAGATTCATCGACAAATTTTATTCTCCACATTTATTAAAATTCTTCATTTTGTTAAATATCTAATTAAAAAAATTTATATATTAATTAAATAAATATTGTTCAATGAAATATTTTAAAGTGATAAAACAATATTTTTTATTTAAATTTTTTAATTAATTCGTGAAAATAGATTCATAAAATTTTAGGAAGCTTTGATATAGAACATAACGCATAAATAAATAGATAATTAAAAAAATAATAAATAATGAATTTGATGCGTTATACCTGTTATCATTGGCACGTTTGCTCCATAAACGGATCCTCGTCGTTGCAAAACGATTGGGCTGCCAACTGCGGTCAAATTACCTTGTTCATTATTTGCTGGAATTGTCACTTAACATTTAATTATCGTATACGCGATAGAATATAGGAAAATGTTAATAATTCGAATTATTATTATTCTAAAATTAACTCTTTAATTGCTATAGTGAAATTCTTTAATGAAGATAACCGAATAAAAAATAAAAATTTTAATAAATTATAATAGATATTATAAACTTATATCTTTAAAAACTTAGAAATTACTGAGATTTTCGACAAATATATATGTTAAGAGCAAAATTACGAAATTTTGTAATGTCTGGACTTTGTTTGGAGAAGATGAATATTTCACAATAGCAGTTGAAGATTAAGATTAGTACTAATACGAACCTTGGCTCAGCACACCAATGGTATCGTCGAAAGTCATAGCTTTGATATTAAGGGACGCGAGGATGGCTTCCTTGTCGGCGAGGGTGGGGTCATCGTTGCTAGGCACTTTAGCCGACAAGATACAACACATGTCGCACAAATTCACGTTAACGGCACGCAGATCTGCTCTGCTTAATGGTGAACCCTGCAAAAATACAGATACAATTATATTACAAATTCATTCTTACAATTTTAATACAGAAATTTTCGAAAGAAAATTAGAAAGAATTATAATACAGAATATTTGAACATTTGAACGAAAAATATTATTCCAAATTATTCATTAATTTAAACAAATGAAATAATTTCACAAATCACAAATATAAAATTCACTTGCATTATTCGTTAATGCATAAATATAATTTCATTTTTCAGTCGAGAATCCGATTTTGACTATCAGACTGGTGAACTGTTTATACATTCATGGAAAATTCAAATGTAAAAGAAAAATTCACAAAGCAGTATGTATGTAATATGCAAAGAGACACGAAATGTCAAAAATATAATGATCATTGTAATATCTTGAAAGTAAAACAAATCTCAAGTCAAAAATTAAGTTTTTATGTTTCATTAATAAAAATTCGAATTTGCATAATCATCCGTACTACCTTAAAACATATAAATCTTATAGGTATATTCAAGATATAAAAAAAAAAAAAAAAAAATTAAACGAGAAATATCTCTTACGTTTAACACCGATATCTTCGGTAGATTCTGCAACATCTTCCACTCGCGGCGGATATAATCCACAGACCCAACTATTACTACGTGTTTAAGCTCGTGGTAATGAAAATTGGAAGCTCGTAATGGCATGACAAGGTTTCTCAGTCCGATGAGAGGCGAGTCGGGATCGGCGAATAGGCATACGACGACATGTCCGTTCAAGACTGTCATCGCCGCCTGATTACGATCCAATATGCAGTCTTCGAGGTTACGAGATGGACTCCAATGGAACATACCCGTTGAATCGTACTTCATTTCGGTCTTCTCGAAATCGAAGTCCTTTGCCTGATCGTCGGCTATTCCGACTTGAAGACCACCGTTGTTGTTCACATTCGTACCGCCCGAGGCTCTGCTCGTCGGCCTAAAAAAGATAAATTTCACTTTTTATCGAATGATAAGTATCAATTGTTTATATATATATCTTGATAAAATGTTATTTCATTAAAACAGCAAAGTACTAATATGTTAGAATATAAGTATGATATCTATTTATAATTTTCCATGGCTATTTTATTTTTTGAATAGCTGTAAATATAGCTAAGCTAATCCTGAAACGCTTAAGCGGGTAAATATGAAAATTATAAGTTGAAGAAGCGATATAAATGTTAATAATGATATTGTTTAATTAATTAATATTATCAATAAAAAATCGTCGACCAAAGATAGTAATTTTTAAAAATATTATAAAATGCATAAAAATCGATATGAAATAAATATTATATAATCAAGAAACATAATTTAAAGTTTTGTTTATTATTAAGGAAAAATGAGAAATTGTTGACAGGACAGAATGATAAAATACGGAATAAATTACAAATATACAGATATATGGAATAAATTATTTGAAACATTAATATGAAAGTAACAGATACATTTAGATTTTTTATTTTTTATATTTTATGTAATAAAAGAGAAAATTAAAAGTATAAGAAAATTATAACAGATTTTACGTAAAAATAATAATTTAAAGCTTTCTTAATAGAATGAGAGCAAACTTATTGCTAAACCTAGTAATATTGAAAGTGATCTGTGTTTAGTCTGAAAGCATACATTTAGGCGCAAGCGTTTGACAGAAAATCCTATCTGGATACATATGTAATGCGTTTAGCAACAAAGCATTATAGCAAACGCATATATCTAAACTAATTGAACCACTTGAAATACATGTTCTTTGAAACACTTACATTTTATAAAATTGATTTTTGTTGTGAATGTATAAAATTATAAAATATAGTTAACTTACTAGACTATACTAGAATTTTTTATCTTTTTCTTTTAATGAAAGAATAATGTTCATGAATATTTTTTAATTTAATGATATCATTTTAGTATTTTTCAAATTTTTCTTATTATTTCGCAGCTTTGAAAAAAATCACTGATTATATATTACATCTAACGCTTATAAGAAATATTATTTTATTTTGTTTGATTTCGTTATATAAATGGATATAACTTATTAATTATATTTTATCAATATTATTGTATATATGTATGATTTGTTTTTTGTATTAGTGTCGAGCAAATTCGTGATAAAAAGATAAATCGAAAATAATATTTTCATATAAATAAAATTTTGTTTTTAATAATATTAACATTAATTATTAATTTAATAAATATTTTATGATAAATATAAAAAAATATAAATAGAATAACAATGAAATCACATTGAAAAGAAAAAATTAATATAATTGTTATCATAAAAAATAATCGATTATATATTCATTTTCTATATTGAAATTATTTCACATATAAACATATAAATGATGATAAATGCTTTAATTACACAAGCAATCAATGAAACATTCGCATGCAATTCGCAAGCAGATTTCTATATCGCAAAACGAAATTAGTGTAGAAAAGAGAACATAATGGCTTAATGTGATAATTAACGTAAAAATAAAAAGCGTACATGAGCTTTTTGACTTCGTAGGCGAGATGGTAGCCAGGGTATGCGGACTCCTCTTGCGATCTGGAATCAGAAGGTATTCGTAACGTTGGACTCGTCGATTCGTAGATGCTCTTTTCTTCGTTCGCCATCGAGTAACATTGAATCGTAATATCAGGAATAGAATTAAAAATTGAATTTATGAGCGATATGACAATGATTCTCGTAGTTAGTGATCAAATTACAAAATTTTAAATGTTTCATCGATTAAAATATAATTTATGATTAATGATTTATTTTTGAGATATTGAAATGAAATAAAGTTACGAGGAAAAAATTATATTATACAATTTCCTGAAAAAGTGTTTGTATTCTTGTCAAAAAATCTACAAAAAGCAATTTGTAGTTTATACTAACTTATTCAGAGCTTATTCAAAATGTTCTAAATTAAAACTGACAAATTGTATTGATATATTTGACAAGTTATTTTGAAATAAATATTATGTACATTGTGAATCAATTTATTTTTGATCTAGAGATATAAAGAATGAAGTAATATAAATTACAAATAATCAGATGCATTTAAGTTATTTAATTTTTAATCTTGATTTTTTAATCATAATTAAATTTGTATATATTTGAAATTATATATATTTTACATTGATTTACATTAATATACACTGATTTTAAAAAATAAATAATAAATCTTAAATGAATCTGATTATTTGTATTTGTGTCATTTAATCTTTTACATCTCGAGAACAAAGATAAATTAAACCATGATTTGTTTCAACCTACTTTTTCTTTAAAATGATTTTTCAAATATGTTAGCAACGTTTTAGAATACCCTGAAATAAGGTAATAATTTCTAATTAAAAATATTTTTAGAAAAATATTTATTAAAACAATCAAGAATAAAATATTATTATTATTCTAATTTCATTTTAAACAGTGACTAATAAATTTGATAATAAGCAGATTTTATCGCACAGGAATTTCTCGCGACTCAGCCGTATACAATAATTATAAAAGCACAGATGAGCGGTTTATCCGTGCGGGTGAAAGCTGACCTTTAGACATTGTAGGGGAAGGAAAATAGGAAAAGAATATAATAATTTTATACTTCATGGATTGCCATGAAATTTATTAACATGCGATATATATATAAATGTATAAGTATTAAATTGGGGAAGAAAATAAATTATTGAAATAAAAAAATTATGCTTGTCTTCATAATTTTGCATAATTATTATTAATTAGTTTTAATAATTATTTTAACTCAAGAAATGTTATATTCCTAAATAAATTTATTATATAAACTTTTAAAATATATATATTTTAAAAATCGAAAATCATACTTAGATATACTTAGATATTGAAAGAAAGAGATTGATTATGAAGCAGTAAGTAATTATAATATATATATACTTTAATATTTCATTTAAATTGCGGATTTTTATCTAATAACATATATATATATTTTTTATATGAATGTTTGGCTAGCTTTGTCCAAAGATTTAAAAAATAACTTTTTTTGCAATAAAATTAAACGAAAATTAAAAATTTAAAAAGTTACGTTTCTTTTTAAATTTTGTTTTTTAGTTATTAAAAATTAAAAATCAACAAAAATAATCACACAAAATAAAAATCAAAATAAATCAAACGAATATAAAATAATTTAAAAAATGGAAAGCATGATGATTCTCAAATTTATTTTGTATATTTATTTTATATATTTACTATATAAGTTTACTTTGTATAAATCACAAAAAAAGAATAACTATATTTTATTTGATATTGTGTAAATTACTTTTTGATTAAACTCGAATAATATTTATTAATAAAAATCGAAATTTACATCAACTAAAGAACTTAAGATAATTTTTAAATTGATTTAAAATGTTTAACGTATCATTAATAAGATCATTATAAGCAATATTTTTCCAAGAGTAAATATACTTGTCACGTAATTTACTTTAAATTCTATTAAAATTAGTAAAACTTTAAATAATTAGTAAAACTATAAATAACTCCGTAGAGAATGATTTTTAATCGACGAATGAAAGATTATTAGAAGCGCGGAATTTTGCCCTTTAAAATGCTTTTTCATTTATGCCGATACGATTTCCGGTTTCCGAGATATCGTCGTGTAAAGAAAAGAATAATTTTTAATCGTTTATTATCTCCGTCTTTGTCTCTCGCTCGGACCTCGTCTCTGACCTATTCCAAACTTCAGACACGTGACAGACATGATTCTTGGGAAAAACGTATGCATCTCCAGGAAAAAATATAGGTCATGAGGCTCGCGGGCTTATTCATAATCTCCGCACTGTCTTAAGTATTATGGACGCTTTGAGTCTTCATATTTAATACATTGAATCTTGGTAACCGATTGAAATATCAGGATAAAACAAAGAGTGACTTTAATGGCATGGTTTTCTCTATTTCCTATTATAAAATTTTTAGTTTCTTCTCGCGATTTTTACGTGGAAAATCGAAATTTCATTTTTAATTTTACATATATTGCAATATCTTAATGTAGAATATATGAAGAATTTAATAGAATTTATAGAGAATTTTATTTTTTTTTATTTTAGAATTTAATTTTATTTTATGTATTATATATATATTACATATATAGTACGAAAAATGATAAATATATAAAAGAATTTTATAATTCTTTAATTTTATAAATTTTATAATTATAATTTTATAATTTTATAAATATTGATGGTATCATAATATTGAAAAATATAAGTAAGCTGCTCTTTGCTGTGTTAATTTAAGAATCATTGTGTTTTCCGCTATTTAAAATGTCATACATGATAATGTAGCCTAATCGATATTTAATTATCAATAACTAAAAAACGGAGACAGAAATGTAATTCTCTTACTTTTGATTTTCATTTTATTTTGACTTGCTTTATTAAAAGTTTGGATACATATCCTATGTATACGTATAATTTTGTAAAAAAAAAATATTCTAAATAAATTTCAGCTATATAAAAATCCGCTATCTATTTATAAGTAATAAATTACTGCAAAATAATCAGGTATGATTTTCTAAAATTTATAAACTGACTTTTTTTATACATATAATCATAAAATCGACATATTATATAATAGAATTGATATTAATTATGAACAAATTCTTAAAAGTTACAAAACTATAAGACGAATAAATTTGAATATGCTATTTCAATAAAAATAATCATAAATTAAATAACATATAACATAATTGATTGGAATGCAAACGATTGAATTTATGAGAATGATTCTGGATCGCATGGAAATTCTCTACCGAGAATATTAATAATAAGTTGAAAATTTATGTAATAACAATGTTTATCATCATTTACGTTATGATAACTTTTAAAACATGCTGATTAAATTAAAATAAATGCAGATACTGTTTAAAGAATATTGTGTTATTGACATCATAGTGCACTCTGTATAAATGAGAAATTATTTCATACAAGTTTTTAAATTAAGAAAGTGTTTTTGTATTTTGTGAGATAAATCGTATAAAATTATTGCTTTGATGTTTTATCAGGTTACTCAAATTACAGTTTAAAGTAAGTTTCATTAAAGTGATGCATCATTACAGATACACATCCTCTTACAAATCTTATTATCTTAGGATATTTGTTTCCTTAATAAAGTTTAAAAATTCAAATTTTTTAAATGAAATAATATTATTACATAATAATATAATTCAATAAATGATAATTTTTCTTTTTTCATCTATTAAATAAATTTATATATACAATTCAAATTATTGTATTTGGTTTTATTTTAATATGAGAAATGTTACATAAATAATAGGTAATAATAGGTAAAAATTACATTAAAAAAAAAAAATTAAAAAATTTTGATATTAATGTTATATCACCGATATTTTTTCTTCGAACATTTCCATTGTCGACATAATATAACTTTTTTTAATAAAAATGATCGAATCACATTAAAAGTACTGTTACTGTTCTAAGATTTTTGAGTGGATATGTACAATATAAAATATATGTTTATATATTAAAAATTAATTAATGCAATCTGAATAACCCGCTCAACATAGTTTACAAAAATGTTGTGTACAGAAAAGCTCGAGTCGTTCTAATCGTGCAAATATGGAGAGAAACAGTATCAACTTTAACTTCGTACAACACAGTGAAAGTGCGTATTAAAGACAGAAAAGTCGAAAAATTCACCACGAACTACTATACATTTGTGTACATATTATGTATAAATTGAATTACACTGTATATAATTCGTTCGTATATAAATGTTCGTATTAATCACATTTAATTGAACTTTGAGTGCACAAAAAGTGTTTTTTTTTTTTTATAAGACGTGAAATACGATCAAATTTTACAATAAAACACAACGACACTTTTTTTTCTTTCAATGAAATACGTGTATCTAATTCTCAGTAGTGAAATTCACACACGGTTGTTAAGCACTATTCTGAATGAGATATTTGAGCCATACATAGAAGTCAAATTGATTAACTCTCAAATTTCAATCGAATATTATCTTTCTTCTTATGTTAAATTGTTATTATAATTTGATATATTTATTATTGATTTACATTCCAAATTTTATTAATAGAAAATATTTAAAAATTTTAATAATATATATATAAGTGTTTGTGTGCGTATATGTGAATATTTGAACAATAGAAATTTTTGAATATTGTCAATATTAAAAAGTATTGAATAAAATTATTAACCAATCATTTTGGCACAGTTTAAAATATTTTAGATACATCTATATAATGCAAAATGTAAAAAATTTTAAATCTTTATGTTAATATTAAAGTCAAAAATAATATGATTGATCAATTCGTCTTCTGAATGACTCATTTATCGTAGAAGTGATTGAAAGTGTGAACAATGAATAGTGAATGCAAGGACGAAGCACGTCCGTATGTATAGCGAAGAGAAAATAATAAATGTTTAAAGTAAAACGAATACCTCTGATTGTACGGTTGATTTGGACTGGATAAACTGTCATTTGTCGCTCGATTCACATTCGGTTTCACCTTATTCACTTGTTTCGTTGAATTCATCATGGTCATCCCAACGGAATTCCGGTGATTTCTCATCGCTATAATGTAAACACGATGATATGAGTTTATACATATTTTTTTAATTTTTCATTAATATTATATTTCGAGATTATCGATAAGAATATATTTAAATTATTGAGAAAATTTAAATAACTAACTTAAATAACAATAATTAATTTAAAGATTGTGTTTAACTTAATTATTTGAAAATTTATGTAATTTTTTATCATGTTTTAAATGTTGCAAAGAAAAATTATATTCTATTTGCTAATTCAGCAAAAATTAATATTAAATAAAATTAATTATTTGTTCGATCTATTTTCATCTCACTTAATGAGATATAAAAATATGTTTTGAAAATAATGCATAACATTTTAACTCCTTTTATATAAATGATAAAATTGCAAAAAATTTAGAAAATTCTGCTTTTTTATTAAACAATTTATTAAAAAAAAAAATGTTTCAATGAATATTTGATCAATTTGAAACTTACCGTTTGGATCTTCTCGGTCACGACTGATCTCACCTAAAATCGATAAATTAGAATTAACTTCTATGTAATCGTTATTTTCTTTTTCAACGTAGCTAATAGACAAAGCAACAATGATTAAGAAAATTACTCAGTGCCACGCTGATCGTGACCTAAATCCCTTCGTTATAACGTATTTTACTTTTAATCGACAAAGAGAGCCTACAGCCTCATGCTTACAGGCACGCATACTTTATCCTAAATATTTTGCACGTGCCATTTTTTATTTGAAAAATTTTAAATAATTAGAATTGCGATGAACTGATGAACTATACTTATGGTTTTCAAGAATACGTCGAATACACGAATTTTTATAAATATTGATAAATAATTTTATATTTTAATATTTTTCGAAAATCTAATTAAAAAATTTAATAATCTTTAGATTATTTTTTAACGATATAATTTTTTTAAATTTGCACAATTGTCGTAATTTTTACCACTGTTATTATTGATAAAATGTCAAATATTAACGCAAAAATAATTTTTCTTACGAATAAAAAAAATAAAATAAATATTATTTCAAAATCACAAAAATGATTAAAAATAACTTCTTATATAATTTATCATTATAAATTTTACGAATTTCTTTAAAGTTTCTGAAAAATATATTTTCTATTACATAAAAAATATTTAATATCATATTCTCAAATACTTATTTCTATATAAAATTAGATGATCCAAAGCAATAATAAAAATATAAAAATTGATGAAACAATTGGATCATTTATTTTATAACACAACGCATTAAACGTGAAAGCGAAAAGTGATGCATTAAACTATATTGGTCAATTTTTCAATAATAATATACAGGATGTTCCATTTTAATTTTTTAGAATAAATATTTCGAATAATAAAAATATGGAAGACACGAAAAACTATCAAAAAGAAGATCATGCTATTATTTATTTGACTTATGATGTCCTTTAACAAACATATAAATGTCAATATTAAATTTAAGATAAAAATAAAAAACTAAATATTTTTTTACTACATACTATCATAGTTGGTATTATTGCAGCTACATCGAAATATTTTCAAAACGCTACTTAAATAGGTCTTTGGTACAAGCTATTCCTGAGATATAAGCTTCCAAACTCTACGTGTTGACTTTAGGAGATTGAAGTAGAGATTAAAATGGAACATCCTGTATATAGTGTCTGCGTCAAAAAGTATGCGAGATAAATCTTTACAAAGGAAAATTTGACGTATCAATAGAAACCAAAGCAACGTTCATTGTACACAAGCAATTCTTAGCCATTACGGCACGTGCTGTTTGCAGAAGACAAGAAAAAAATAATAATAATAATTAGGCATCTGTCGCGATAAGTGAGTTGAGTGAAACACCATTATATATATAATAAATAAATATGGTAAATAAATGGATCAAATGAAATACAAAAGGTGAAAAATGTGCTTTGTCTAAATGTCACCATAAAAAATAAATAATAATAATAATGATAATAATAATAATAACGAATAATGTATCTGTCAATCTACCGTGCTTTCTACAGCTATTTATTCATTTGTTTACACTTGATATTAAAATTACACAAATAAAATGCATATATATATATATATATTATATATATAAATGACAATAATATATATATATACTCAGGACATATGCGAATTATATACATATCAAAAGAAGAAATATCGAAAAAAATATTTCTAAGCATCCTAAACCAAGTATAATATTTATCTACATAGAACACAGAAATATTCATTGAAAAAGTTTGAATATCACTCAAAATATTTGAATTCAAACAGCATTTCTCAAACTATCCGCGAAATTTATTCTCATCTTTCAAATTTACTCTATACGAATTAAAATAATTTATCGAATATTTTGCGAATTTGTAAAAAATTTTTGTCATTTACAAAATTCAATTACAAAAATCATCATACTTATCTTATGCAGATTCAATTAAAAAATTGTTATATCAAATCTAACAAAAATTCTGCTTTAAATGAAACTTTTTGAATATATATAATAAATTATTGCTTACAATATGTTTAGTAATCGATGTACTGTACAATTAGATAAAAAACAATAGAAAAAAATTTAAAATATTTTTTATTTAAAACTTTATTTTTGAGGAAATTGAAAATTCAAATAATAAGGAAATATAATTAATTCTTGGTAAGAATTGATTATTGATAAAAGATTACTTTACATATGAAAAATGTAGATTAAAATTTTTCAATTTGAAGAATACTTTTTGAGAAAATAAAATTTCGAATTTATTTTTTGAAAACAAAAATTTAAACAAATTAAAAATCTTTTACATTTTTTATTTTTTGCATATAAAATATTCAATTAATAGTCTGCTGATGATATTCAATCATATATTTTACAGTTTTTCAAAATTGATTTTATCGAAAAAAAAATATCAAACAAAAAAATATCTTTTTTTCTTTTTAAATTAATATAAAATCATCTTCTATCTGATTGTATTACATACTATACCAAATTATATACGATGTAATATTTTTTTCATCATGATGAATCAATCTTTAAAATTTTAATGCTTTTTCCGTTTTTCTTAAAATATAATTTTATAATAATGCAGGATAAAATAAAAATTTTAATACAAAATATACTCTGGATTTATTAATATAAATTCTATTCAAAATTTAAAAAGAAAATATTAAGAAAATTTTATCTTCTCAAAGAAATTTTTTGAGAGAAAAAAAAAAAATGTTTGATCCATTATGCTTCACACATATACGTACAATTTTCAATTATAAATTTTCATTATAATCAGAATTTTCTTTCTTTTAAAAAATAATGTACGAAGATTTTTGTTTATAATTTCTTATTCGATTATAGAAAAAAACCAGAATGAGAAAAACTGATGTCTTTATGAATTCCTGCTCCACTACTTACGCAGACGAACACCAGCAAATGTATTGCATATATTTCAATTACATGGAAAGGTATGTTTGTCGCGAATAAGGTTATCAAGCGTTCGAATTGATTTTTTCTTTCCTTCACTATTACATTTATTACACGTTACATTTTTTATTTCAAATTGAATTCTTAAAAAGAATCGTTATTCAAAATTAATTAAGTACTTTGCACTCAAGTTACGTAAACTAAATTTGTTCAACATCACAATTGTCTTCTCTAATTATAAAAATTATCCATAAATTAATCATTGTGTTTTGTCTATGAACAAATATGTTGCTTTCAAAACTATAACAAAACAAATGATCACAACATGAAACAAAAACATGATAATTGATGCTATATAGTCTAATAACTATAAAATTCTATGATAATCGTATGTATTCTAACGAATTGCAATGATTTTATTTTATAGAAAACACAAAACAAAGGAGAAAAAAAAAAAAGAAAAGGAAAAAGAAGAAAAAAGTGAAAGAAAGGGAAGAAATGACATGTCGTTTATAAGATAGTGATATGATAGCCATAGTGAGAACTAAAGTTAAACTACAAAAAATTTTAATTCACTACATCTGTGTAAAAATAATATAATTGTTAACATAAGATGCAAACTATAATATATCTAATGTACAGCTGCATGCACTCATCGCGACCGGAGAAAGTAGTAAATAACGACATTATAATGTAATCGAAATTTTTTTAATTGCAGAAAAATAATTATCTTAAACAATTTATACAAGTATCTTTCTACTTTCTCCAAAATCGTAGTGAAAATAACGCGTTTTTCCGTACATATTCCATATTACGTATGTATAAAAATGTATGTATTCAGAAACAGTGCTGGAATTTTTATTTTGAGTAACAATTTAGTTTAAATTACGTATTATCACAATTTTATTAATCATTTGTTTATAGAAATTTTTATTTGTTAAATTTGAATTAATTATTTTAATATGATTTTTGTTTATATTTTTATTTTATATTTTTTCTTTTCTTTTATTTATATGAAAAAAAATTAAGTTTGCTAGTTTTATGAAAAATAAATAATAATTATAGGAAGATTATATAAATTTCATCGAGAAATAGAAATAATTTATTATCATTAATCTTTGGAACATTATTAAATGAAATTATTTAATGTTAGATGATATTATTATATCCTATTGAACTCATAATGTCACATATATATAATATTGAAAAATAAATTTCAATAAATTTTCAAAAAGCATAAAAATATTTAGAAATTGTTTCTTATATTTCTGATATTTATTCATATGTTCTAATATCTCTTAACATTAAAAAAAAATAAACATAAAAAAAAAATATACAAAATACGATATTCTCGAAATTATCATTTAATATCATTTTCACAGCGATTTCATAATACACTTTCAAATAATCGAATTAAAAAACAACTTAAATCCAGCACTGTTATCAAACGTCGGTCGAAAAGTCGTGTTGGATTCCTAGAATATGTCCTAGAAATGTCGCAATTGGTCGTTGAAGCTATCATGATGCATAAAAAAGAAAAAAGAAAAAAGAAAAAAAAAGAAGAATAAAAAAAAAAAAGAAAAAAAGAAAATCGAAAAACATCAGAAATTGAGTGCAGACAGTTGTTAAATCGAGAGCGAAGCACTTTTGTGAAGCAGCACTTCGAGTTCCTTCGTCCAAGAGACTGAAAGCGATTGATTACAGTGTATACCCGTATATACCGTGTATTTCATAAAAATTAGGAAGGGCAGCTTGCAAAATTATAACACGGTTTTGATTGAGGTGTAACTGTACCTCTTACGTGAACCATCTTGGGCAGTTCTGGCGGAGTGAATGTGGGGGGAGGATGGTGGTCGTCTGTAACAAACCACTACACATGTTAGCTACCCTAACTAATTACCTAAGGCCTAGTTTCTACGCTATTGCTACCACTGCCATTCCTATACTTGCATTTTAATCAATTAAAGCTTCATTCCAGTCTTAAATCGATGAAAAATATCTTATTATCGAAAGATTTTTTGTAAATCGTCACTGTGCTGCCATCTACTTCAATTGAAGAGTACTATTACATAGTATAAATAGCATTAACTTTTAAAATATGGCAGAATCAGAAATCAGAATCAGAAATCATGAAGATTGATACATCAAAAATTATTTAATTTTATTATTGTCGTTAATTGCGAGAATTATATTATATTATATCATATTATATTATATTAGCATTTTAATATAACATAATTCAATAATTAATCACAGATATTAAATTGTTTAGGTTTATAAAGACTAATTTTGATATTTGAAAAAATTAGGCAATAATAATATTTTGGCACCAAAATTTAAAATTAAAAGCAATAAAATTGACTTTCATGCGATATGATTATTTTACATCTATATAGAATTAATCATAAAATTGATTTAAAAAGATTTTATTATATCAACATTTAATATTTTTAATATTCATTATTCATCAATATTTATTGTTCAAATAAAAATTAGATCACAAATTTTTTGAAACAGATTTTTTGTTTGCAATTAATTGTTTGAAATAATGAACAATTATGAGAACAAAAGATCTTCGCGTTAAAAAGACAATAACAATGAAATTCTTTTTATCGACTGAAACGAATCTTGTTCTAATCTAAATAATATATTATCAATATTCTAGAAATCAAATTATTACTCTGAAAGAACTACCGTTTTCAATGCTGTTCGTGGCAACGCGGACGAGTCCAGAAGTAATCGAGGCACGATATTGTACAAAATATCAAAAGGAAAAAAAGTTTAAAAAAAAAAAAAAAAAAGAAGAAACAAAAAAACAATCTGTACATCGTGATTCTCCTCCGCGTTGTACAAATATAGTCTAAAGTAGTGGTGAATTATATACACGTTCTCATAACCAGATTTTAAGCACTGTGCACAGGCAATGCACTCAATTTCATGCAAAAATTATAACAGAGGCAAAGAACAAACTCGAGAGAAATTAATATTTAAAATAAAGAAAATAATTTTTCCTTTATAATGCACGATTAAATAAATATCTTTGCCTCTGACAAATCTATCTTCTATTCTATCGTATCTAAGCGTGCAGATTAATAATAATTCTTACGGTGTGAATATTTACTCGGTATTGCAAGTGCGGTCTTTGACAAATATTATTTATAAAACTCGTGCGACAAATTGGGAAAACTCGAGACAAAAAGGTATATTATTCGAGAGAGTTATATAGGGTTTCTACCGTGTCAAAGCAGAATTATAAAAGAGGGAAGGGGGAGACACGTTATAGTAATAGAAATTAACGTGAAACTCGTCGTTTGCAAAACTATTCGCGAATTCGTATAGTATATGCAGCTCTTTATCTTGTGAGCACTTTTCTTTTGCCATTGGCGTCGTTAAGCTCCTAATATAAAGCTTAATCGACCGAGGGAGTGAAAAGTGTAGCGCGTGTAAAAGGCCACTTCAAATGCTCGTAACGCTTATATCGTGTATATCTCATCGCGTAATTTATTTTGTGCTATTCGATTAACTTTTCTTTTTATTTCGATATTTATCGTTATAAGGAAGATAAATAATTTATTGTATGACACATAAAAGAAAATCCATTATTCTTTAATTCTAATGTATTGTATCTTTCGTTGCAATCTTTAATTATTTTTTTCCTTTTAAATATTTCTTCACATTTATATATAATATATATATTTTTAATATATTTTTTAAATATATTTCTTTTAAATATATTTATTTAGCAAAATTATTAAAATTGTTATTTCATTGTGATGAATATTAAAATCTAAAATATTATTTTAGATTGTAAATTGTAAAATTATAATATATAAATCGTTCGTTATAAAAATGACATATGTTTAATTTTAAAAGAAATTGAGAAAATGAATAATGTATAATTAATTAAATTTTTTATTATACTATTGGAATCTAAAGGATTAAATATTTATTCAAAATTCTTGGAACAATTAATTAACAAATTTTTGAAGATCATCTCAGACAAAAAAAAAAATAACGATTCAAACAAGAAACAAAGAGAATGATGTTCGAAATATTTTTTAATTTTTTTTCCAAAGAGATAAGGATTTTCCTTTATAAGACAATTAAAAGAGAAAGAAAAAAGCGAAGAATCCAAATCTATAAAAACAGTATTACACCGTGTAAAAATAGAAAGTATATAACGATAAACATACGAATAAAGCATGTGTCAGTAAAATACAGTGACCATGTACAGCCTACGTCTTATGATCTATGCCTTATCAATACGGATTCCCGCGTTATAATAATAATATTATGCATACATATGTACAAAAATATTGATTATACACCCGCTTTATGTTAGACTTACTTGCATACGAGAAGTCTTCACCTAAGTAGAAGTAGAGGACGAAGAGAAGAAAGTTCAAACAGATAGACACATAGAAAGTTAGTTATATAGATATATCTTTTCTTCATATTAACGGTGTACATAATGTGTTATGCGTATGTGTGCTGTGTGCACGCCTTGCGGGCACACATATGTGATACACGTGTATATCGATAGGTAAGATGTGCGTGCGTGCGTGCTTGCGCGCGCATGTATATGTCGTGACGTTGTACAAAGAGATACACATATATGCACGCATGGATCATAGATGAAATTAGAGTGATATAATGATCGTGTTAGGCTCCGATGCGAGTGAAACTGTTGATTGATTTTTCTTACCCTCTTTCTATTTTTCTACCTCCCGTTTTTTACAAGCGTGTATTATCGCGTGTACATTTTAATTTTTTTTTTTTTTACTCACGTGCATATTCGAATTGATCGATTTATTTATCCATTTGCACGATAATTTAATAGTTAATAATATTAGTGGTATTGACGAGTTGCAAATTAGAACAGTATTTTTCTTTGTTTTTTTGTAATATTCAAATAATTTATGATTTTTTTCCTTATTCAAATTTTATTAAAATTTGAATCGTTTATTATTTGAATAATAATTTATTTGAAAATGAATTCAAAATATTTTAATATTTATTATCTCATTTGATGAAATACTACATAAAATTTTTATTTTTTCAAAAATCATTCTTCTTTTGCTTGGATTGAAATATGTATATTTTTTTTTATACTTTTTTTTTGATTCGGAATAATGATCACTTGAAAATAACATATTTTTGAAATAAATATCTTTAATACAAATGAATATATCATTATATTTTATTTAAAAAATTCATTTATTTAATTCAATAAATGTTATTATAGATATATACAACAAAAGTGATTAATTATTTGTAACTTCTAACTTGTCAAACATCACTAATAACTTGTTCAATAATTGTGCAAGAGGATAATTAATGAAAATATAATTAAATCAATTATTAAATTATAAAAATATGTATATAACAACTGATTTTAAATATGAAATTAATCTTAAAATAGCTCAATAGCACAAAAATATTCGATTAGCAAAAGATAATTTTTTCTTCTAAATAAAATTAAACTAAAATTTATTCGATACAATTTTATAAAAAAAATATAATTTTCAAAAATTCAACTACATATATTCTCACATTTATTAGTTATTTTCTAAATTCTGAAGATGAATCGAACGTAATGAAAATCATAAAAGCACATAGCTTTTACAATATAATTTGCGATAACTCGAAGCACATATATATATATATGTTAAATACTGCATACTTAATATTGTAATCGATTCAACATTATGCAACATGTTTAACATTTTTCAATGACGTTTAAAAAACACCTAAGGAATTGAAGCAAGTATCGGGATATCGGAGGAAACGATTTTTTCCAAATATAGTCATTGACTTTGCCATGAAACAAGTAAATAAACCACTCAAGAAACACTATTCTAAGATATTCTAAAGAAAAAAATAAAAAAAAAATTTTTGAATATAGATATAATAGTTAGATATTGAACACCGATGCAAGATCAAATTAGAAATAGTTAAAAGAACTCAAGGCAATCACATCGCGTGAGTTTAAGACGATTCAATTTCAATAATTCACTCACAACAATAACCATCGAAAACAAAAAAAAAAACACTTACATACCTTCAGAGAACTACATTCAAAACGACATCGAAATATGTAAATAGTAATTTCGGTTGCAGAAAAAAAAAAAAAGAAAGAAACAAAAAAATACATCACATCACATAGGAATTCAAAACACTAATGTATGTTCTACTTTGAAAAATCAATTATTATCAATTTAGATGAAATTACACAAATTAGCACAACGAACATGTCTATACGTATATGTATGTTCTAATTTTGAATAATCAAGAAAAAAACGTCGTATAAATAACTATAAAAATTATCGAAACGTTGTGCTATACTTTGTCGAGTATTTAAATATGATTCCAGGTTAATATTTTTTTTTTCGATTTTACACTTTCCTTTAACTTAAATTTTGTTTTTTAAACTAAGCTATGATAAATTGGTTTAACTTTAATCTCACATATTTCCTTATTCTAATTACACGTATATAAATATAAATAATTCAATACAACAATACTATAGATTTCAAATTTTAAAAATTGTAAAAACAAAAAGATGATCAACGCGATTTAAATGATCAACGAAAGGAGAATTTTGTGTGCAATCAACCTTTAAATCGAATATTTTTTTCTAAATATAAATATAAATAATAATATAAATTATATATTATATAATTATTAATTATAAATTAATATAAATAATAATATAAATTATATACCTCATATTTTTATATCTATTATCATTCATAATTTACTAAAATTTTGAAATAATAGATTTTTTTTTAATTATATTGATTTAAAAGTTGCATGAAATTAATAAACTATTTTTTAAATAAATTTCGACTATATTTTCTCACATTACTTAACGATGGGAAGAGGCTAAAATTAGAGAGAGAAAGAGAGAGAGAGAAAAAAAGAGTATGAAAGAAAAAAAAAAGGGACGTGGAAGACAATTCTACATTCGGGGGATACATACTTGCTCTTCCAACCATTTGAACAGCTCGCACGCCTTTCCGGAATGTGGCCACTGCCCGAAGGGAGGAGAACCAGAGCTGTTAGTTGTTATACCAAAATAAGGTGAACCTAAATGCGGGGTGTTGGGGGTGGGTGTGACAGGTAAGGGAGGGTTAACCGCAAAGTCTCAATCGTTTTATCACGTTGTGAATTTTAAACAAAATATGAAAAATACGGGTAATTTAAAACTCGATTAATAAATAATCGATTATTAATAACAATAATAATAATGAATAATATAAAATAAAATAAAACGTGACAATCGATAGAGAAATCTATGGTTAAAACACACTATTGATTTAAAGCGATCACTTTAAGTCGTTTCGGTCTAAGTATGAGGATCGGTGTACAGAAAATACTATACAATTATAAGTGTGTGGCCCATATAGATTTTACATAATGGCCAAATGATGATACGTATTCCGTTTTTTTTTCTTTCTTCTTTTTCGTCAGAGACACGAATCGTCTCCTTCGAATAATAATAAATATTAATCATAATGTCGACGTTATTGTTGTGATGTCAGTGAATGATATCAAATATGCGCAACATGTGAGGGGAGAATGAAGTATTTTTAATCGTTGTGTTCGATAAACCCTGGGCATCGATTATCATCATCCGTATAAATTTAGAATTAAAGGTGCTTACACCGGTGGCATTCACTTGTAACTTTATTTTTCATATATTCGAAAACTGTTTGTGATTACACTGTTACAAGTATTTCTAAAATCATTTTTTCACGCATACGTACATATATACACATTCATCCACGCAAATGCACCTACTAAGTATGCTAATGGTTTTTCTTTCATATCGAAAAATTATCTTGTGCTTTATTAAAGAAAACTGTTACAAATTTTCTTTGCTGAAATATCATCCATCAAAAGCTAGTGTTTTTTTTTAAGATTTTTAGATTTTTTTTTAAGATTTTAAGATTTTTAATAATTATTTTCAACTTCTTCAAATGATATTTAATAAATATTTAATTATTCTTCATTTTTGATGTAAAGTACATAATTTATCTAATTATTAAAGGAATAATTTACAAATATGAAATATGAAAACTATAGTTTTTATAGTTTTACTATATATTATTATATACTATATATTATATATTATACTATTTTAAAATGTACAATAACGTATGAGAATATTATATGAATATTTTTCTAGGTATTGGTCAAACAAAAATTGCATATATTCCAGATTATTCCAGATATTCCAGATTTATTCCAGATTTATTTCAAATATATTATTTTTAATTTTATCAAATCAAAAAACAAACATGTTTCTAACGCATACAAAAAGAATTATTTCCGTGTTTTTATGTTAATCAATAGTGCAAAAACCAAGTTAAAAAATTCTCTTCAAAATGAAATATATTGGAACGACAGAAGTAAAAATATTTAGAATAATTATCCAGATATGTCCTAAAATTGATTGTGCAATCAATCATAATATACGCCTATATATATGCACATACAAGGTATTAATATATTCGTTTCGAGAATTGATTCTGAAAGTTAAAACAAAAAAGTTGATATGCAAAAATGTTGTTTAAAATTTATTTATTAAGTTATAAGCAATTTAAGTTTGTAGATGAAGAAAAACAGAGATAGAGCTACCTGTCTAACGCAATATCTCTTCATCTAATGCGAACTTAAATTGCTTATAACTTAATAAATAAGGCTCAACCAATATTTTAATATACTATACCAACTTTTGTGTCTGTTTTAACTTCTAAATTCGACTTTTCAAAGATATTTTTTAATAAGCGAGAAATATTTAAAAAAATTATTCAAAACTTAAAAATATGTTATGATAGCAAAAATAAATATCAAGTGTTTCATTTTAATCCATTATTGCTAATTATTAAAAAATTAATTGCACAAAGAAAATGATTAAAATGGATTTGAATATTTCAAATTAGACATATTTTCTGATGTAATTTTGACAAGGAAAACATTATATATTTTTTTAAGCATTGATAATTATTGATATATTTATGATATATATGATATATATATATTATATTTATATATATATTCATATTTATATATATTTATATATATTTCATATTCATATTAATTTTATTCGTTGTTTTCATATATGTTAATTCCTGAAATTGACCCATATATTATAAAACACTTTATATAAACATGACATGTATTAAACAAAACTAATAATCCAATTAAAAAATTTATAGAAGAGAAAAAACAATTTTCAATTTTCAATTTTCATCAATTTTCAAATAAAATTTTATTGGTTAATAAAGATGAAAAACAAGATTATTTTTTAAAAATATAATTTATGAATATCTACAAAAGCAATAGTAGTAGATTAAAAAAAAGATTACAAAAATATAAGACAATATACTCGTTATTATCATATTATTTAATAATATAATAAGTTATTTGTTTAATAAAAAGAATTTATTAATAGATAGAATAATTAGAATAATTTATGAAAATAAACTTGAAAAATAAAATATTAAATAATTTGAATCTATTTTGATATTATTATCATCCAAGTAACATTATATTAATCAAAAATAAAGATTTATTATAATATAATAGCATAGGTGTACAATATCTGTTATAAGATATAAAATTTTTATAAAATATCAATGATAAAAGAGTTCTTCTATTTCTAGAATTGAAATAAAATTCACAAGAACGTTCCAATATCTAGTGTACTAATGTGCAATTTTATATTATATACAAAAAAAAATTTTTTGAAAATAAAATTAGAAAAAGAAATGTCAAATAACTTTGAAGATATTTGACAGCTCTTAATCAATAAATTTGAAAATAAAACTGACCTATTAACTTTTTGATAAATTCAATGCTATTCTAAAACAGAGAAAATTAAATGGAAAATAAAGAGGATAACATTTGAATTGTGAAGAAAATAATTCAAAATGTTTAATATAAGCACATCGAATAACGATTAAAAACGATAATCATTGGCAAGCCTGAAACGAGCAAGTTTCTTAATCAGTGAAACGTAACAGCCAGGAACGTGTAGACACAGAATATACGAGTTAATATTAACGTGCTTAGCAAAATTAGCATATCCGCAAAAGCGACGATTTTTCGTGAAAACTGAAGCAAAATTTATATCGAACTGAAATTCTGTACATATGCGATGTGTAACGATCTTCGTCCAGCTTGAATTCGACGTTGCTGCTTCATTTTAAAAAACAATAATCGCCAAAATATATTAGCTCTAGCAAAAGCCCAGCGAGAAACAATATCGAACGATGTCAAAAATGTTCAAACGCAGGTACCGTGGAGTAAGTGCATATGATGATATCATATACAGTGAATTATTAAACATCTAACTTGCATTTCTCTTTTTTTCTTTTTTATCACTTACGCCATCTTACCTGGTTAAACGCAAAATCAATTAAACCCTGTTTGAGTCAATTGATTTTCTTATTTTTGAAAATAATAAAAATAATTCGTTTCTCAAATTTGACTCAAACAGAGAGAATTTATCAGAATAATGATCTTTTCTTATGATATCATCTCACAAATATATATTTCTGATTTACAGATTCGGGACAAGTCGGAAAAATTCGTGTAGAATCGGACGAGTTCTCGATACTGTCGTATTAAATCCTAAAAGATTCGATTCAAAAGTCATTCGTTGTCTCATTTCGGTTCAAGAGCTCAAGTCTCGGTCATTAAAGCCTTTAGCCGATCACGTCCGATTATTGTCGAGTCGAACCGAAGTCAGACAGCTGCTTACTTCGAGCAATATCGAAACCTCGCACGATTCTACTCGAATATTTCCGACTCGACCCGAAGTTCGGGACTGTATAGCATATCCCTATTTATTTCCTTTAAGATTATTCTGACAAAGTCGTAGATATAGGTCGATAAAGGATGTACATTGGGATGAAAAGGACGGCAAGGAAGGTACAAATACGCGTACCGTCGAGGTAACTGCTGTAGGCAGTGTTTCCCTTCACCATGCCGGTCTGCATCATCATCATCCCCACATCTGTAAAAATCGAGCGATCGGCCCGGACATATGTTTGTCAGTAAACACGCAGGGATATTCTACTGAAATGACTGGAAAATGGTATAGGAGGATTAATGGTTTATCAATGGTTAAAGAGATTTTGTTAGGAACCAGAGAACGAAATTGAATTTTTAGAAAATTATTATAAATATACAAGGTATTCTCGCGAATTACCATAGAAACTTTGATAGCGTGTACTGGGACTAAAAATAAAATGAAAATATCGTAATAAACATAATATCGTAAAAGTTGAAACATCTTATTCATCGTTCCTCAACAGCACCCCAAAGCTTTAATTATTACTATTAGATATTGTAAATATAGAAATTGTCTACCTTATTTCTTCCTGAAAATAAAAATGTTATTTGATATTTTTTTTTTTATTGCATCGTAAATTTTTAATAGAGTAAAACCTTCCGTATCTGAATGATTATACAAATGTTTTTGTTATTTGAACAAAATATATCTTAATAATATATTTTCCTGTTAAAAATATATATTATTTACATAATATAATATTGTATGATAATTTTATAAATCATTTGTTATAATTATACAAATTAAAATTTATTTTATGATTTTCTTCTTCTATAAATGTAAACTTCTTTTTATATAATTTAAACTCTTATTAAAATATTTATAAAATAAATAATTAAAATAATAAACGACAATATTAACAACAATGATATATCTTCTCAAAGCATTCATACGTAGTTATCAGACTTATTAAAATGATATAAAATTTTTAGATATTGAAACAAATTGACAAACTTATAAATTTCTATTTGTCTATTATTAATTTGGATACAAAAGGTTCTACTATATAATATTTATGAATTTATTATTGGAAATTTTATTTATAATTGCAGAATATGTTAGCAAAGACAGAATTCTGCTAAGCACCTTATAGACATAAGTTTATAGGTAATTGTTCAAACATTCACACGTGAAGATTTATGATAAATTAATATATCTTGGTTTGTAATAAAATAAAAATATAAGTAACATAAGATTTCATAAGTATCATAAAAGTAACATAAGATTTGTATTTATTTTCATTTTTATATTAATTAATAAATAAGAATTAATCATTAAATGAAACATTCTCGATAAAATTTAATTATCATATTTATCGTTCACGTATGAATCAAAAGATAGCAGCCCTATATGTATTATATCATATTATTTGCTTAAATTTACTCTCAATCAGCACGGTCAGGTTTCCTACAGTCAGGATAAGGGATACTAAATAAAGAGAACAAAATAAACTACAAAAATAAACTACAAAGCTCCTCAAACACTATTTACCTCCGATGTATTTTCATCCATCCTGAAATTTCTTAATAATTTCAAAAATGACGCATAAAGAATTTCTCTCTAAATTTCGATACAGCGAAATAAAATTCACACAAAATCACGTTGATTGCCCAGGGTTTAATATTAACGTGATGGAGATTGAATATATTATAGCGGATCTTACATTCAGATGAATTCAGATGAATACATATATATATATATATATATATATATATATATATATACATATACATATATATATGTGTGTTGGTATGATACGTTGTGTGACATTATTATAAACGAGTAGAATCGTTAATTAGAAAAATCAATCCGTGATTAAAGAATATACGTCATTCCCTACAAATTTATTCATACGAAAAAAATCGTAGAAAATCATTATTGCCAAAGTTATCCAAGAGGTAATCCATTTTTTTTTTAGCGAAACATTATATTATTTTGACAAATATTCGGAGTGAGAGCGAATAGAAGATTAATTTCAAATTGATCGAAACCTAACGATCGACAGAGTTTCATCAATGACAGTTGGCACATTGAAAGTTCTCACACGATCGAAGAGAGATTAGAATAGGGGTAGAATAGCGATAGCAAAGAATTAGAAGAAATATAGATAGAGTAAAATAGATAAACAGATAGACAGACAGACAGATAGATAGACAGAGAGAAAATAGAAGAGAAAGAGAGAGAGAGAGAGAGAAAAGGCGAATTGAGGGATATTAAAAAAGAGAGAAAGAGAGTGATAGAGAGAAAGAGAGAAAGAGAGAGCGAGTGAGTTTTATACGAAGCTGTCGTATCATTAAGGCGTAAAATTATTCGAATCGGAAACTAATTATGCATGCAAGGCGAGCGAGAAGGGCACACACTAGAGTGCAGACTAATTTCCTCGATTGGCCAGGTGGACATGCGCCAACTGACAGAACTATAAAGGGATACATATCACGTGTGTATCAGTGGTATTTCATTTTTCACGTCACAGTAATCAAGTGGCATCAAGTGTTGGTTGAACGATGGAGTCTTTCAAATCGTTCAAAAAAAAAATATATATATATATTTATTCTCATAAACAGATAACTTTTTAAATTCGCCAACTTTCTCTTCGAAATATATCGACATTTGCAACAGAAAATGAATAGAATATGGAAACAGGAAACAGAAATCGTGAAAAACGAATAAATACCCAACTATAGTCACGTTTGGACAGTGTCTCTGAAATGAGGATTAAAAGGTGCAATCATCCCATCGCCATTTTCATAATCGTCATCATCATCATCATCATCGCCTTGGCGTATATATATATATATATTTATATGCAAGATAATGGTTAAAAAACTCGAAGGCATATATACACATAATTAAGACACAAAAAAGACAGAAATATGCAAAGAGGCAATGATATATAGAGAAAGAGAGAAGAAAGGGGAGCAATAGAACGAATAAAATACAAGAAATAAAACCAAGTACATAATTACAATTAAAACCGAAGAAATAAGAACTGAAACGTTCAATCTTGATTGAAAATCCATTGAAAATCTTTTTTATAGTTTTACGAATCAAAATCACTCAATTTTTACAAAGTAAAGTAAAGAGGGAGAGAAAGAGAGAGAAAAATGTGGAAAAAGAGATGGAAGAAAAAAGGGGGAGGAAAAATAAGTAGACGAGAAAAAGATAGGCAAAGGAGAAAGAAAAGAACGAAGACATAGAGGGAGATAGTCATAAACGAGATAGATAAAGACTAAGCGAGCGAGTGTGAGACGTTACCTAAGTCCCGGCCCCAGGAGCGCTGCTGCTGCCCCACTAGATCATATATCACAAGAGGATGGTCACAACCATGTCACTTGGTTAATTGTCGCGGTAATTACTGCTACGGCTTTCAGTGGCAAAAGGACACAGAGAAAAAGAAAAAGGAAAGGGCGAAGGAATATCATGGAAAAAGAGAGCTTCTTGTGTGATTCGTCTGGTCTTATACGTTAGTCTATGTCTCTTCGTATATAAGAATCGTTTATCTTTTTTTTTTTTAGTCACATGAAAAAGGCTTCGATCCATATTTTGTCGCAACTTGTTGCGCTCTTCGAAATTAAGGATCGAATGGTGTGATTCGCAATATTTTTTTTTTCGACACATTCAATGCGCTCTATGTACAGAGAGATGTTACGTTAATTATTATTCGTATATATATAATGTATATAAAATAACTTCGATAATAATTCGGAGTTTGATTAAGAAATTCGATAGCAGAAAATTTTCAGTAAGAATTAAATATTGTCAGTTAAGAGGTATCACTAGACTAGAAAGACTTACAATTTTTGCACTTGCACTTCTTGATCAGAGTTTCGTCTTTTATATCCTCGTGGCATGCTTTGCAATAGAACCACGCCCTGGAAAAATATACATATAGAATGATTAATCATTTATTAATAATAAAAAATATAATGTAATTAAAAATAATATCTATATTTATTATATGTAATAATATACTATAATGCTTTATTTAATAATAAAAAATAATAATAAAAAATCAGATTTATTGAATAAATATTATTTTAAGAATAATAAAATATTTTTTATTCTTCTAGAAAAAAAGTAAAAATCAATGAGAATTATTTTTCTTATAAATTCTTCAATGTTTATCACTCTTCATAGAAAATGATCTAGAAAGAATAAAATTTTTGTATTATTTTGTATATTTCATTTTTAATTTAGAAGATTACTTTTTTTTAGATTTAATATAATCATATTCTTCGTTATAATTTCGTATAATTTCATTGAAAAATGATATTCTAAAAAATGGATCCATAATTAAACGATCCATTTTAGAGAGAGATTTATGATTATTATCCTACGTAAGAAATTTATAATAAAATTCCACATTAAAGCTCATCTTCAATGATTTGATTATAGAAAGAATTTATTCTCACCGCTTCACTTCGTCGGCAGATTGAGCAATGAAGAATCCCTGAGTATTTGCTACGATCTTGGCACCACGTGGATTAATTGATATCTTACTGTCGCCACCTCCTTCGCCCTTTATCTCGATTGCCAACAGCAATAACTTCAACTTCGTGAAGCATAACCTAAGATAAAGTTTTGCATAATATTCTACATCCTTTAAAAATGTATAAACAATATCATAGTTACTTTTACTCACAAGTAAGAAACATTTATGCATAAAATAGTGATTATGAAATAATAGGTGAGAATAGATGCTCAACAAATAGCGCAAAGCGTTTATATCAATGCAAACTAAGTTTGTTTTAACGTTAAATTAAATAAATATATCTAATTTAAATAGATATTTGAAAGAAAATATAATACATAATGTAAATAATATAGTTTATAAACTATAAGAATAATATTATTTATGTTAAAGTATATTATAAAATATGGATTTTAATATGCTATATATGATACATAAAGAATAATCAAGCATGACAAATAGAGAATAAATGAATGTATACACGCATAAAGCATTAATTAAATTAATAGTTTAAGTTAAATAGCTTGAGATATTCTGTAAACGTTTAAATCCAATATTATTATAATAAATATCATTATGGGAGAGAGTTATTGTGAAAGGAAATTCTAAGTGGAATATAGCAAATATGTAAATAGCACTAATAAATTCTAATAACTTCAAGATATATAAAATTTCATTGTTATTATATTTTTAATTTAATCATTGTATTACTATTATTTATAATTACTAAGTTATTTACTTTTAATTAATAATATAAATTCTCCTTCAATTTATAAATAGAATCATATAAAATTCATTTACTATATAAATCTACTACTTTATTATTAATGATTAATCTAAATTCGAGTATACTTAAATTTTATCTTCTAAATTTTTACAGGATTTCTCACAGATAGAAAAACAAAATCTTATATTATTAGTGATATGCATTGAAACATATAAAAATATTTACATGTGTATTAATGTGATGAAGATATAAAAAGTTCATTATAATTAACATTAAAATATTTATATATAGATATATATTTGTTTTATATTGCATGTTTTTTATATTACATTCATAAGCTTCCAGACACCATACTTTATCTTTTTCCATACAGAAGAGAGAATATTTTCTATATTTTGCTGCTCCAATATTTTATTTTTTCTTTTATAATAGATTTTCTATTTTTTAAAATTTAGTAATTTATATTTTATCTATTTGGGTATTTGGATGCTTTTGATGTAAAAGTGAAAGTTTCACGTGGTAATATAGAATATTAATTATAGCGTGATATAGACACCCACAGCATTACAGAGCGTTTTCAATTCATCAATTTTTCCCCATCAAAAAATTGTCAAAAAAATTTAATCCAAAAATAAATATCTAATATAATCGTATCAATAATATTCGTAAGACGCTCTGTTCTGCCACCTCGGCTAGAAACGAAAATATCAGAGGAGCATGCAAAGCAAGCAAAATTGAACAAACGGTAACTCGAGAAATATTCGAAACAACGAAATCGTTACTTGTCTAATAAATTCGAAATTCATGCGAAATATATAGAAGAAATCTAGTGCTCTCTAAACTAATAACTTTAAAATCCTAAACCTATTAAATCCTAAGCCTAAAACTCGGGAAAGAGACGAGCTAAGTGTCCTTGTTGCTCCTAAGCGCAACAAGCGTAACTATATACGTATCAAAATATAAATGCCAAAGAGCGTAATTATGATAGAAAGACCTAATTTCTATGTAAAAATCGATAAGAAAATTTGTACATGTTATCGCGCACACAAACTAAACCATGATGACAAACCAGATATGTGCAAACTAATAGATAAAGATTTTAGACCAATAATCCTATATAATATACAAATAGCAGTGCTGGGGAAAATAACCTAAAATAGTGCTGTCTTGCTAATTAAGACAAGAAAATTTGCGTCAACCTAATATATTATAATCGATAAAGTTTTATATTATTATATTTGATAGAGATTTTGAAAGATTATAGTTTCATTTTGTATCATTTGTTGTAATTCATAATAATTATCCTTAATATAATAAAAATATAATTATATGTAATAAATATATGAACTTCTAAGTTACAATGATTAAATGATATGTACATGCAGATATTAATATGTACATCTGATATTTATCAGATTAAATAATAAGTTAGTTTATCTTTATTTATTTATTTTAAAAAATATTATGAAAATATTATTTGTGCTGAATAAATATGAATAAGTATATCTAAAGTATATTTATAAAAATGAATAAAATTTCAAATATTTGAATTCAATTGTAGAATATAATATTATTAAATCAAATTGTACACTATTTTTATAATGCAAGAAAAATAATTATAGTTTGCTTTTAATTTTTATTAAATTTTTTTCAATTTAAAAAATATTCTTTATGGAAAAATTTCAAATATTATAGAATGACTAAGTTACTTCATTTATTAAATGATTAATAAAATAAAAAAAATAAAAAACAAATATTATTTATTTATATATTTTGATTAATAATAAATAAACTTTATGTAAAAATACTTATAACTTTTTTAAAGAAATTCGAACAAATTTATTACTCAACTTATTATTTTACATAGCAAATAATATTATATATAATGACTTTGTTTATTTGTTTCTTTGTTTATTACATGCTTTTCATAATTAAACTATTAATAAAAATTTTCTAATTAAAAGTTTAATTAATAATTCATGAAAAATATTTCTAGTGATTAAAATCTAAAATTTACAAAATAATTAAAATATTAAAATATTTTCAGCAATACCAATTGTGCAATAAATATAGTGCATAATTCATATAACAACTACAATTACGAGTAAAATATAAAAATCAATATCTCTAAATATTCAAAGAAATATTGTACGTGTTATGATAGCAGTAACATTAAAAATCCTATACATACCAAACATAATGTATAATTTATTTAATTCCTTTTACTAAAAATTAATCTTATCTAAAATATTTAGCTTCAATAATGAAAAGTGATGTTCAATGTAAATAATTATCAGTTGTTCACAAGGAAACTATTACTGTGATATGAAACAAATCTTGATAAAAGAAAGAAGGATACGAGCAAAATAGCGTAGAATTTGGAAACAGCAACAAAGGGATCGTTTAGTGGAAAAAGAGAAGAGAGAACCGGAAAGGAGAGAAAATGATGAGTCGAATGAGTGTTAAGAAAAATGGGCCGAAGCGAAGAAAGCGCTAAGGAAATGGTGAAAGGGAAGGAATATAAAGGAAAAAAAAAAAATAGTAGCTTATAAAAGGGGGGAAAAAAAGAAAGAAATAGACAGGAGATTTTAAAAGAGATCAGAAAGATTAGATACGGAAAAGACGTCTGAAGAGAGTGATAAATGAAGAAAAGAAAAGGGGAAAGGGAGTGAAAGAGAGTTTCGAGATAGAGAAATGGAATGACCACTTTAGAAAAGTAGTAAACCATGTGCTTGAAAGAGAGAAATATAGATAAAAAATAGTGTTAGATGTTCAGGAAAGGAATTTAAAAAATATGAAAATAAAATAGATATACAATCTTTCAAAATATATAAAATTTCAAAAATTGATTGTATATTTGAAAGTAATAAAGAAAGTTTGTATAAATGTGTATTCTATTGTTATATATTATATTATATATTGTTATATATATATTATATATTCTTTTGTTATATATTAAATATTTTTAAAATATTTTTTTTCACTGGATCACTATAATTCAAAAGAATGTAAATGTAAAAAAATAAGATGAATAATAATTGAGTTTTATTATTATACAATGAAATCCTTAACTATATATATTGTATCTCAATTATTCTAGCAAAATTAATAATAAATATGTATATTAACTCTTTGATTTTATAATTCTGAAATATTCCACTATCTGTGAAAATTTAGAAACTTAACTTAATTATTAAGACACTTGTTAGCATCATATATGTTAATTAAAAGTAAAATTATGAAAACTTTGTAATACATAACAGTTAAAACTTAAGAGGTTTTATTTTACCAAAGTATTAATATAAAAATAAAGAAAGTTTAACAAAACAAACAAAAATATTCGATGTATAGATTTTGAAAGAAAGAAAAATATCAAATAGATATATCTACTTTTTTGTTTTCAAATATATAATCAATTTCTAAAGTAAATCCTATACATATCATAGAATATCATATTTTATACAAAAAGATTGAAATGAAAAGAAATGGTTACAGTAAATTAATATTTTGAAGAAGAATTCTATGTTATATGACGAATCCATGATCATGAAATGGAGGATGGTATTATATCAAAAAAATTAAAATGAAAATACAAATTATAATGATAAGAATAAAGAAGAGAAAGATCATTCCGATAATAGTCTCTTGAAATATATATATATAAACCAGAAAATTAAATTGAATTCGCAAAATTATCAAGAAAATTAAAGGAAAATATGTAGGGAAAAAAGAGAAATAATAGAAAGAGAAAAAAGAAGAGAAAACAGATAACGGATAATAAAAATAATAAAAAATATTCATGTTATCGTGATAAGCACTACAAAAAAAATAAAAAAAAAATCAATGGTTTGTTTTATCAAACTAAGTAATGTTTGATATTGAAGAAATGTATTGGAGAAAACTAAAAGAAATATTGAAAAATATAAATAAAATACTAAAGGATAGAATAATGAATAAATCTATATACAAGATACAAACTTTGATCACTTTGATTATATCTGTTACATATTTTTAGATATATAAAAAATTTTATTTATAAAAGTTTTGTAACACGAAATTTATGTTATTTTTAAATCATTTTTCTAAAATATTTTTAGCAGAATGATATATGTTTAAATTTTAATTCTACAATAGATAAAATGATATTAAATACTATGCAAAAAATAAAAAATATAAATTTATATAATTTACAATTTATAAAAAAAAATATGAAACTTCATACGTTGGATATTATTAAAATAAAACATTTAAAAAATCATTATAATATACAATCTTATATGATTAGATTTTATTTGAAATAATCATATAATGATCACTTTTTATATTATTTCATTATTATGAAATAATTTTTAATTTTATATTTTATTTGAATAATTTTTTATTTAAATTTCTCAAATAGCTTTCAGTATTAAGTAACTTTTATAAATTAAGATAATCAAAATTATTAACTTTTTATAAATATCCACTCAAGTTAAAAAAAAAAGATATATATATGTATAAAAATTTAAAAACAGTTTTTTTTCTTTTTCATGTTAAAAATTTAAAAATTCTTAATAAAAGTATTCTGAAATAACATAAATCTAATTTGATTTTTTCTTAAATTCTTGAATTTCATTTAGCTAAATGATTTCAAATTTTTTATAAATTATATACTTATATACTTAAGTTAAGTTAATTATATAGTTAAGTTCATTATTAATTTTAATAATTTTAATATAATTAATTTCCATTGACGATTCTTTTTCTCATCTAGCAAAATATATTATACTATTTTAATGAAAAAAAAAAAGAAAAAAAATTTAAAATGAAATATTAAAAAGCAATATTTAAAAAAAGCGAAAGTGAAAGATGAAAGATAGAAAACAATAAAATAATATATATTAACAATTAATTTAAATAGATTCTAAGATATTAAATTTTAAAATATAAAAAAATAAAATATAGAAAGAGAAAGAGAAAGAGAATATAGAATATAATAAAAAAAAATCGATGATGAGAATTGGCTTGATATAGAAAATTGAAAGAAATTATGTATCGATAAAATTAAATAGTAAAATAAATTTTCTTCATATACCATTTCCAGAAGAAAAAAAACAACTTTAAACACACAATCAATTATCCAGGCTATATCGATTAAAATAACAGGTATTTATCGATTAAAATTGTCCAATCAAATTTCCATTATTGAAGGAATATTATGTAGTAAATTACAGAAGTATATTTTATTACAGTTGGTTAAGTTAAATTATTAATGCACACTTTTATATTTTTTAGAACGCAATGAAGTTGTTGTAAAAATAATAATAATAATAATAACAACTTCCCAAATTTATTATATATTTTTCATATTATTTAAAATTCGATCAATAATTATAATATACAATACATATACGAATGATACATAAAAAATGTTGAAGAATATTAATAAATATATTAAAAAGAAATAGTTATTTTTTTTTCCTAGAGATATTTATCACTGGATTTATCAATTATTATTATAACGGGAATTGAATAAAGTATAAGGAATTTATAAAATACATTAAATATTAACCTACTTGGAATGTAAAACTGCGAGCTCGTTCAAGAAGTTTTCTATAATTCGTGTGAATATGTTATACATCCGAAAATGTATGCATCTGATGTAAAGTAGAGAGCAGCAGGCATGCGTGTACAACGAACGTGTTTTGTTAAGAGAAGATTAGAACGCTACAACTAAGAACACACACTAGAGAAGAAGAATAAAAATGGAAAGAAAACCCGTCTTCATATGTATATGTATATATTATATACATATATATATCCCTAAAAAAAAATTTATGCATAAAATGTCAAAAATATATGCCAGATAAAATTGAATATATTATTATAATATATTGCTAAAAACAATATATTTCTTTTAAAATGTTTCGTCATTTTATACTGTATGAAGCCGTAAAAATATTACTAGAAAACAAAATACAATCTTAAATAGATGATATGCAGATTTCGTCGGACAAAATTTTTCAAACGTTAAAGATTTAAATAATGAAAATGATTAAAAAATAATATAATAAATCATTAATAAAAATATTGTGCAATTATTATTTTTAATTATAAAGTTAAAATGATTTTTAACTCATTTCATAACTTTTTAGTTTTTATATTCATTATTATTATATTCATTATTATTTATTATTATTTATAGTTCTTATATTATTTCATTTTCTAATCAATTTTCAAATAATAATTGCAGAATACATTGTAATATGTTTGTTATGTTTAACATAAATTACTTTAATATTGAATCTGAAGGACAGAAATAAAGCAAATTAATATTTAAATTAGTATTTAAAGATTAGAATTCTTTAAACAATGATAAATTTATTTTAAATTAAATATTTGATCGAAATAAGATAATTTTTAAAGCTAAATGAAATAAAAAAAATTTTTTTAAACAATATGTAATAATTAAAATTAAATTTTAAGATTTAAAAAAAACTTTGAGAGTTATTGTATTCGCATAAATTGTCGCGAAATCTGCACCGATTTGGCATCACTACTACTTCTACACGCAATATAAAAAAATTGGTGCAAAATTGTTCGTACAAATTGGTGGTGAAAACCAGAGATAGCTGGTTAACAAAAAAGAAAAAAAAATAAATAAAAATAACAAACGTTACTATTCAAACGATCGGCTCAATATCATATATATGTGTGTGTGTGTGTGTGTGTGTGTGTGTGTGTAAAAATTTCAAAGATACATTCAAAATATCAAATTACCAAACAAAACAAAAACTACACTAGCCAAAAAAAAAATAATAAATAAATAAAAAAGAAAAAACGATCCCGATACATGAGAGAAAAAAAAAACATGTTTCAAGGGATAATCAATAAAACCGAGGTGAAGGGTGACAATTGTAATCTCGTAATCAATAATATAGTATATAATATGTATATGTACACGTTTCACACCGATGAGGTACATTTAAAAAGTGTGCGAGATCAACAATTATATAAAAACAGGCAGAGAAACAAAAATCTCGCACTATCAGTGTTCATTTTTCGAGTGTCCAAGTATATGTTGCATATGTATGTAAAAATCTTATTGTCACAAATTGTCGTTTTTTTTTTATCACGCGATCGCTACGTGTTTGGTTTGTGTTTGTATGCATGATGTGTCTTGGGTATACATATATTTTATATAATATATATATGTATCTATATATGTATGTATATATGTATGTATATGTATGTTGATAAAAATTGTTTGCAACGTGTGACAACCAATGACAGCGAGAACTTACTCGCTGGCTTGGGGAAATGTCATCCCGGTAAAGGACGGGGAGAGGGTTTCCGTGTACATCTCGCAGCCCGTGCCCTGCAGGTAATCATTCTGCCACGCCTGAGTATCCGGCGACTGAAACACCAACCAATCAAGCCCCACGTCATCAAACCTTTCATAATCTATCTAAATAACTGACTGAGCCTGACACGAGGAAGAACGCTGACCTCGTGGTCCGCATCTCGTCGTGCAGGATAAACAAGATAGGATAACACCGATTTTCGCACGATTATCATTCATCTGTTAAATAGATATATTATTGCAGAGTGTCTCAGCACCGATACGTGATCAAGCCGACGAAATGGATAATTTTAGATACAAAAATGAATCGAAAAGGAGAGAATGAAAATTCGTTTTGAGCTTCGTTCTCGAGTAAGAATAAGTTTAAGAGTTTTCTTCTTCTTCTTCTTCTCTTTTTTTCTTCTTTTTAAGATTGAAATTGATAAATTTTCGATTGAGATTGATTAAATCGAATAAATGAATATTATTACGTGTGAAAATAAATGAAAAGTAGAGTGAAATTGAGATTTGTGAAAATTGAGATTGAGTATTTGGTTATAGATATATATGTTGGGATAAATTTAAGGAATAATTCTTCGAGATAAATATTACAAAAAAACTTCGTTTTTTACTCAGTGGTAACTAAAAATCGATAAGAATATCCATCGGCAAAAGTAAGTTTCACGAATGAATATAAGGCAGTTGAAGGAGAGTATGATTATCAAGTCCAGAAACTTACTTCGTACAAGTGTATCATAGAAAAGAAAATTACGAATTATTGAAGATTACATTTTAAAGATTTTTCTTTTTCCTTTTCTAATAACATTATTAAATTTGATTGAATAAATAAAGATCCAATTTACTTTGAACCAACTAACTTAAAGTTTTCAACATATCATTAGTAAGATCATTATAAAGAATATTTATCCAGAAATCAACACACCTATCATATGCAATTTATCTTATAACTCCATTAAATTTTATTAAAATTATTAAAATTTTAAATCGCTATAACTTTAGAGATAGTGACTTTTAATCGATGAATGAAAGATCGTTAGAAGCGTGGAATCTTGCTCTTTAAAATGCTTTTTTATTTATCCTGATACGACTTCCGGTTGCCGAGATATCGTCGTGTAAAAAGAAAAAGTAAAAGTAAAGTAAAAGTAAAGTAATTTTTAATCGTTTGCTATCTCTGTCTTTATCTCTTACTCGATTCTCTCCCTCGCACTTTACTGATCTATCTAAAACTTTAGACAGATTCTAATTCTTGGAAGAACGTATGCATTTCCAGGAAAAAATGTAGGTCAGGAGGCTTATTCATATTCTCAGCACTATCTTAAGCATTATAGACACTTTAACTCTCCATATCTCGACAACTGATTCAGATATCGGAATGCAACAAAAAGTGAATTTAAAGATATGGTTTTTACTATTTTCTGAGGGTTTTTGATGGTAAAATTTTCAACTTTTTTTTTACATTTTTTACATGAAAAATTGAAATCTCATTCATGATCAAAATAATATATTGTTTCGATTTAATTTGGGTCTATAATCGAATGTTCTATATTCAGTTAAAAAATTATCTTGTGTATTCAAAGAATTTTCAAATTTGATTTTTTTAGAAACTAATATTCAAATTAAAAAATTTTCTCCTTTTTTTTGTTTATTTTTATATAATATTCTATTCATTATTCATTCGTATTCAATCAGAAATCAGACAATATTATTCAAACTTAAATATTTTTCAAACTTAATTTACTCGAAAGCAAAGCCTTGAAACAATTTAATCCTTTTCTTTCGATTCATTTATAGCATGTAGAATCATTTCTGCATGCTTGTACTATTCGTTCTGAAATACCCTGCATATGTGGTATTTTTTGAAGAGAGAGAAAGATTTATCAAGAATAACAAACGATTTGAAATTGTATAGGAATATTCTAATTATCTAAGTTAGTTTTCTGGAAATAAAATTTGATTAATAAAAATTTATAATAATATTCTATGAAATCTATCTACGTTTTATGTGATCTGTTTAATTCTTTCGAATATATATTTTATTTCTTTCCCTTTTTCTTAATGGATAGCTCAGAACAGATAAGTTATTTTTATTAGAATTTTTTATTTTACTGACCTTCGTTGAATGAAATTTGAATATTTCACAGGAAAAAAAAATTATACTAATCTTACAATTGTCGAACATCACACTACGATTGTATACGATTATACCTAACCACAATTATTACACACAATCTTGACCGATTGAAAAATTCTTGTTATCTATCGTAAGGCCAATATTTTTATAAATATAACCAAATAAGTACCATTTTATGCATCATATATTCGTTACTACACATATCTATGATAGATATAATCCTGAACTGGTAATGACCAACAACAATTTTTCACTGACACGAAGTAACAAGCACTGCATACGTAAGTAGTACCTTCGATTCTCTTATATGGAATCGCCTTTCAAGACTGATCGAATCACTAAGCGAGATTGAGATGATACCTACTAGCTATAATTCCTAATGCTTACCAATCATCCAGTTGCCGTTTATGCTTGTCGTTGTTGCAAATTTTTATTATACGTACGGTGAGCGTTCGAGTCAATCGATACTGTGGAGTATTCAAGCATAAAAATCACATTTTATATTACAAATTACGTTTCTAAAATATATGCAAGATAGAAAAAAGGATTTGATGCGAAATCTTTAATTACATATACATGATATATAGGTAACTTTTGATTTTTCAATGTTCAAATGTTCATTGTGCAATTTTTGTAAAAAATTATATAATACCAAATTATAACCATGAATAAAATACTGCTTAAATCATTTTTAAATCGATTATTTAATCAAAATGCTTTATCGTTGCACATAGTAAAATTCCTTTTACATAAATCCTTCTTCCACATAAAATTCTTTTGAAACAAATCTTTTTGCAAACCACGGTATAAATCGGATCGACTTCAAACCGTACGTAGAACTGATAGAGAAAGAGAGTGAAAAATACAAAAAACGTTACTGAAGCGATTAGAGGTGGCTTACATCGATTAGGTGTAGAGCACAGATACGGTACTGTACAATATACAGTTAATACGTTCATGTATAGTATAGATATATAGATGTAGATATAATCCATATAATGTATATAGCGGAGTGGAGCGTAGTGAAAGACATAGGCGAGGCGAAGCTTCATCCTTTTTTTATTTTTTTTCTCTTTTTTTTTTTTTTTTTTTCTTTTTTTCGTTCCGACTCAAGAGACTGCGAATCCTTCTCCAAGTGATTCCGTCGTCGTTAACGTGAACACAAAAAGAACCGAGGTCGACCGGAATCCGTATTACTCTGAGACAAAATTGAGAATTTTCGAACGAACTAGTACAGTACTATTAATAATACTTGAACGTAATAATATAAATAAGTGAAAAGTTCATCGATATTTTCGATTATGATAAATTGTAACATATCCTTATTATTTATATTTTTGAACAAGAGCACATTTCCTATATGATTTTAATATAATTTAAGATATTTCATATTATTCATTGTTTCAACAGAAAACTCGAATTAGATGAATATCAATATTTTTGTTAATTATATAAAGTAGAATAATGAAGAGTCAAAAGATGAGAAAGATGTAGAAAATGTCTTTTATATTTATATATTTAACAAAAAGTATTTATATATAGAATTATTTTCGTATTTTTCCATCATAATTATTCATACATTTTTATTTATTATTATTCAAATGCGTGTAATTGAGATAATATTGTGATCCTCCTATTTTGTATTATTATTTATAATAATGTAAACATTTCAGGTATTCAAAAGATTATTATAAAATCATATAAAAAGCTAATTATATAATAGATAAATTATTATAATAGGACAAGGTTACTTCTTAAATTCTATTTTTAATATATAAAAGAATAAAATAATATAAAAAAAATAATATAACAAATAAATAATAATAATAATATAAATAATAAATAATATAAAAAAAATAATATAAAAAAAATAAATTTCTATGAAATTATATTAAATTAATCTGGCAAATAGATACATCATTTCAACATATTTCTCAAATTTGACAAATTATCCGAATCGAGTAACTCTTCCAATTAGTGATTAATTATTTATTAATTCAGATCGAGTCTAATATAGACTCGATAAAATATTTGTCGCGTTTTAGATGCGTTGTTAATACAAAATATGGATATGTATAATATGTATATATATATATATATACACATAATGACTCGACACAAATGAACGGAATCACAGATCACGTCTCTTGAATCAGATATGCAGGTATCTGTTGGATGTTGGATTGGTCATGGACCGACTTACTCAGTGGCTTTGGCAAAGGGCATTCCAATGAAGGTAGGGCTCAGTGTTTCGGTGTACATCTCCATTCCAGTTCCACGAAGGTAGTCATTCTGCCAAGCCTGCATATCGGGTGACTGGTACCAATCAACCAACCATTTCTAAATTACACACGCTCCTATGCATGTACGGATTCGCGCTTTTGTTCACAGCGACACCAATCTACTTACGTTTCCATGATTTTTTCCAATTTTTCAACATGGATAATTTAAAATAAAAACGCAGCGGATAAAAATACCTTTATATTCAAAAATGATTTTCGATCAATTTTAAAACGAGAAAAGCGAGATAAAAGTAACAGAGTGGTATTTTGGTATTTTATGTACGTATTATTTTTGTATAAGAATTAATAAAAATCGCGAGGTCGCTGTGACAACAAGTGAACCGTGAAAAAACCTAAGGAACCTTGTTCACACATGCATAGATGAAAAAGATCGGCAGATTTTTCTGTCGTCCTTAGAACGACATTCTACTGACCGTCTTGAAGGAACGCATGGCGAAAAGATTGGCCATCATCGTGCTGAAACCCGGCGCTAGACAGGACTGTGCGATGAAGCCCAGTTTCAATTCGGCCAGGCAAATCACGTCGTCGCCCTGTTTCCAGTCCCATGATGGAATGTTTAGTAAGTAGGCCTGAAACATAAAATTTCAAATTGTTCGAACGTATTCGAATATTAATATAAAAGTGTAAAAATGTACATATGAGTTCATTGAAACAAGATTTTTTTTTTGTCAAAAAATAATTATTTGAATGATGGAAAAAAGTCATTAAAAACTCTGATGAATATTTTATTATAAATAAACGATAAATTTATTTAAATATAATGATAAAAAGATACACATCACTTTTGTTTCTGAGTGGTTCGTATTTATCATTAAATTAATTTTATTATTTCATTTTATTAATTATTGATTGTGAAATAATAATTATTCATTATTTTAATTACTTTCCGGAAATAGCGCGCATTATTAACAACATCGTTCTCAAAACTGCATGTTAAATAATATAGAAGGTTTAAAATTATTAATCTATAATTTCTATCTAAATATATATTATATATAGATTCATTAGAATTAAAATATAGTTATATTTCTGATTGAATGAAAATTTATGTTAATTTTGTGAAAAATTTTAACGATTAATAGAAATAGAAAATCGAAAATTACCAAAATATACGAACTAATTCTTGTATTACGATTATATTTGAATAAAATTAAACAAAATAAAATATCGATTATTTAAACATCGGTTGAATTTCTTTATATGTATTTGAATATACCCAATAAATTTAACAATTCTTATTGGCAATAATTATATTTTATATTATAATTAGTTATTATAATCAATATGTTATTATAATTTCTCTTTAATTAAAAGTTTTATCGATATCTGAAATTTATTAAACTGCAACTTGTCTGGATATTCAGCACATTATTATAATATGGATTTCAAATAATATAAAGCAGTAAATTATAATAGATTTGCTTTTAAGATTTCCTGATCAGATAATTCCAGCTATTTAACAGTATCATCTTTAATTGTATATAAAATAAAATTTGATAATACATATATTAATATTATATAATATTTAAATTTATTAATCGAAATTTATGTAATTCGTATTTATATTTTCATATTACGTATAAAATATTTAGAATTGTTAATTATTTATTATTCAAATTATTATAATGATTGTTATATAATGATTATTAAATATATATTCTAAATAAAATTCTTCAAACGGAAACTTAAATCATAAACGTGCAAAATATCGATAACAATACCTTGTTGTGATATTGCATTAATTGAATGATAACGCGAATGTCATCCGAATAGTTCTTGATGGAGATGACACGCATGATGTTTGCTGCGTCTTCCGCATCTGGATCTTGACAATACTTGTTCGCCAGAACCAAACACGCGTCTGCCTCGTGGACCTAAAATGATCGAAACATTTTGTCCCGCGTATATACAAATAATAAACGAAAGCGAAAATGGAATCAAGGAGGTGACATATGTAACATGGAGAGGGTTGGAACGAATGGTTGGAAAGCAATTACAAAATAGAAACTGCTTTTGAACAAATTTTTAACTAAGGAATCATTAGCGAAAGAAAATGTAGCGCAAAATTTATTCTATTCGATCATTATTCAATGCAAATAACAATTGTACAATTTCACATGTCATTTGATTCACATTGCTTTCAAATATATATGGGAAATATACCTGATAAAATTAAATTCAATCATATATACTTATAAAAAGTAAAGTCCGCCATATGTATGGTATGTGATTTTTGATCAAGTGAAATGTGTTTTTTTGGGAAATGATGAATATCAGGCAAAGAAAACACGGGAAAACTAATCACTGTGGTACATCGAATATGCAGGAATATGCACTACGTAATATACACATTTTTTTTTACAAGCGTTTAATAGTAGATAACTATTGGCATGCGTCGTAAATACTGAGAAAAGAATATCTATCAAAATTTAGAAATCGATATTTTCAAAAATGAAAATATGATATTAATTACAATTGTCAGGTATTATATTCCAAAATTCTTCATGTATGCACTTATTAAAAATAAAGCACTTGAAACTTTTGGAAAAAAGAACTCAAAAAGTTTTGAGTCCTTGAAACTTTCAATGCTTTTCTGATTTCAAACTTTTGAAAAAAAAAAATATGAGATAAAAAATAATGTAATTTATGAGAATATTATAATATTAATTTTTTGTATCTATATAATTTCATTTAAAAAAAAAATCCCTATTATTTACCATATATTATATTTTACAGTATCTTCGACACATTTTAAAACAAATCTTTACAATATTTCTAAAATATTATTAAATAACAAATTATCAAAATGATATCAAAGTATCGTCAACATGCGCATCTACAACCTGACTTAAATTTAATCGATATAAAAGAAATATTATACAAATAGCCAAGCACACTATTCTGTCACTTTTTCTTTTTTTCTTTCTTTCTTCTTTAAATGCAGAATCTATGTACTTAATAAAGAATTATGAATCGCTATTGTAAAATAAATCTTTAACAGAAAAAGTAATATTATATTAGAAATATAATTATTTATTTAAATTTCATTCACAAGCACTTACCCACCTGGATTGATAGTAGACACATAGTTGTATCCAGTAGGTGTAAACAATCTTCGAGAGACTTATTTTCGCAATTTGATACAGATGTCAAAATGTATACATATTAATGTCAGAAGAAACTAAGAATATTTTTTTTTTTTTTAGATATAATTATCATTTTTCAAAGTCCCTTGACAAGAGATTGGCATTGAAATGCACAAAATATTTTCGAAGAATTTAATCGAGGGAGAAATATTAAAAGAACTTTTAACTTTCATTTGATAACTTTATCGTTCAACGTTTGCTGAGATATCGTGTATTCGATTAAACTTGTACGAGCTATTACATATTGGAACACGAAAGCAAATGACAGCATGGAAAGCGCGTCAAAGGGATTTCATAAAACATCGTCAATATGCACAGAAGGGTACATACAGGCAACAATTATTTTGGAACAACAACATTTGTCCTTTCGCACGTTTCCGAATGACTACTAAAATTTTGAAGCAGCAACCATGAAACCATATCCCTTGTACTTTCTGATAGTAATAATATATACTTAATATATATATTGTACTTTACAATTAAATGCAATTTTATTTATTTGTAAATTATTTGTAAATTAAGAACTAAATATGATATACTTAAATAACTTATATTTAAATTATACTTAATAATATATATTTATAATTAACATCTAACTTATGAATTTATAACTTATATTATAATATAAATAATATAAATAATATAATATAAATAATATAAATAAACTATAATATAAATTAAAAAAAAAGAAAAAACAAAAAAAAAGAAAAGAAATAAAAAAAAGAAAGAAAAATAAACCACCGATGCTTATTAAAAAGTGCTTATTGGCAAGCCCATATCTTAAATGCTGAAATAGGAGAAACAGTATTTATAAGAAGACTGTACGCGAATACTCGTGAGAAAGCGTATACTTATCCCTCTAATGGCAATGAAAGTCAATTGGGAAATACCAGTATAATACAGTTTCAATGTACAATTACAATGTATATTTCTTTTACATATATAAAGCATTTTTTACTGAAAATCTTTAATATATTATATTTAAATATATATTTATAAGTTATATTTAGAATATAATTTTGTACTTTATTTTTAATTAAAATCAAAATTGAAATTAAAATTATTCAACACTTACATTTATATTAACATCATTATAAAAAATTATATTTTTATATTATCAAGTGTATATGTCATCTTTTAAAATATTCAATTGATAAATACAAGATATTTCATTTATTAAATTAAAACATCTTTTCCTCTAATTTTTTTATATTCTATAATTTATTTAATCCCTCAAAAAATATATATTTAATCTAAATATTATATTTCAAATGAAATTTATATTATTGAAAATAATTTAATTGAATATTTTGACAATAAATATAATTAATATAAATAAAATTAAATATAATTATAATAATATTTTGATAACAATAATAAAACGTTCAAAGTACAAGTACTACGTCATGGGAGCTGCTATGACACAACGAAGGAATACGATAATTCGATGATCCTGTGGATGTTGAGCACAAAGATGTATATGTATATACATAAATATATGTATACGATATGTCCAATTAATTGAAAATAGTGGAATATTTTTAAGATAATTGAAAATATAAAACATATATAAATAACGTTTATAAAGAAAACTTAATATTGATATAATTTAATTCGTTTTAAATAAAACTATTATATTATCGTTAAGAAAAATTTAATAATATAATGTATATTGTTATTAAATATTATTTATTGTAATTATTGTATTTTTTATTATAATCACATTAAAATACTCAATTTTTTTCTTTCCATCTATTTTAACATATTTTACACGTGCCATCCTTCAATATTTCTTTCATGATATTAAAAACTTTTCTTTATTTGATATATATATATATCTATTACAATAAATTTCAATTAATTAAATATTTAATAAATAAATCCTAAATTCTGCAATGATTATTTTCTCGAATCACTTCTTAATCTAAATCTTCATAAAATATTTCAAATACTAATATCATAGATGTCATCAGAATAATATTAGCATGCTATTTAAATTTGAAAAACGTAATTTCAATGCTGACAAAATATTAGAATAAAATTTCTATTGGATTCACACTCAAAAATCTTAATAACAAATTTAACTTATTTTATTTTCATCTCTCCAGAAAATATTCCACCGTTTCAAGAACATATTGTACACGTATACATATGTAAATATGCATAGTGGCGTTCGCCAAATAATACACGCAGGTTGATACAAGTCGGTGTAATTATCACAGGTATTATCTTGCATATGTTGAAAAGGAGACGAGGATTTTTATCATTAACTTTGGAGGGGGCAGAATAGATATCAGACTCACCTTGACCCGTTGCAGATCAATGGGGTTCATGATGGTCCCCTGAAAGAACTCCACGGTGGTGAAGTGCCGTTTGAATAGTCCCTCCAGCTCGAGATCTGGTGGTTTCCTAAATGGCACGAGCCCGACAAAATGATACGTTTCTTTTCATAAATAATGTTCACCTCAGATATCGGAGGACGCCTTTTTTGCGAATTATCGCTGAGTAGGCCCGCCAGAGATGGGCGGAGATTCGACTTATAATATAAGTAGTAATAATAATGCTATCGTATTTAGCGTTAGACCTTCGAGGAATATCAAGTGATTAACCTTCTAATGGATTGTTTCTCAATCTTCTTTGAGTTGCGATTTCTTTTTACAATATTCATGTATCTTGCGATTTCTTTCTTTTCGTGTAAAATAAATATCTCTATAAAATATATAAATATAGTAAACATCAGATGAATGTAAGTGGTGGCCAATAATCATCATTATTGTACAATTCTTCTTTCATCTTGTTTTTTATATTTTGTGAAATACAAAAAAAATTCTGATCGAGCTATGCGAAAATTAAATCTCAATATTTTCGAAAAATGTACAATTTGAATTCTGATTCTTCAATATTTATCCAATTTTTATTGTATCCTATATTTAACAAAATATGAGAAAAATCATGATTATATATTCAATACTTATAATATTCAATACTTTTACCTCATAATTGAATGTCGATGAGGTAAATCTTTGAATACTTATACAAATTTTATTATATATATTCTGATAAATGTTTCTATATTCAAGAAAGTATAAAAAGAATTTGATCGATCTATATTGGTTCCATATACTATTTCATAAATACACAATTTGAGTTTCGATTTATCCAGTTTTTATTGTACACTGGTATTACAAGTATTTCTATATATGACAAAATTCGAAAAGAATTATGAGCTCTGATCAAATAATATAATTTTTCTAAATTTCACTATTTCTACTTTATAAATGCACAATTTGGATTTCGATTTTTTGGCTATTTATCCAACATTTACTATAAATGTTAAAAATTATTAAAAATTATTTAAAAATGAAAAGCAACTCACAGGTTGAGAATTACTGTTCTATACATTCGTTATTTTATAATAAATACGTTTCCTCGTAAGTCAAGGATACGATAAACGTTGTAATAGATCTAAGTAAGTCTCTACTGCACGCTGATTCGGCTCCATAGCTCATTACAGCATACCATGCAGTCGCAGGCAATTGCTTTCTACGTATAAGTTTGTACATATACATATATGTACATATATATGTGTATTATGTATATATATACCAACATATGTATAAGGTGATTTTTAATAAATGACTAATGCGATTATCTGCGTAACTTCGAAATACAATATGGAGAAACATTTCACTTGAAATGTTCATTTTCAAAAATGATGTCATACGATAAAAAGGAAAACTGTTTCGCAGACGAAAGTGTTGAGAAAGTTTTACATTTATTAATTGTAATTGTTTTTCCAAATGTAATTCCTGTGATGATTTGAATTATTTTTTGATATAAAATTATCGAGTTTAAAATTGTTCAAGATTAGAAATCATTTTAAACAAGAATGTAATCTGTGATACAATTGAAAAGCAAATAATTTCACAAGTAAAGATGGAAAACGTGAAATAGAATTTTTTTCATAAAAAAAATTTTTTTTATAAGAAAAGAATTAAATACAATTTGGTTAATTTTATTACTTATGATTCGAAGAAAATATAAAAATATATGGATTACATACTTATTATGCTAAATATGTATAGAGTTTTATTCGATCAATTAAAAAAACATTCAACTATCAAAAATTAATAAATTCAGAATGAATATACGTGAATAGAATATAATATATCTATCAAAAAAATAGAAAATTTAAATAACGAGAAATGTAAAATGTTGATTCATACTAATGACAATTTATTATTAAGATGAAAACAAGATGAATAATATATCCATGTGTATTAATTATATGCATATTTGGCGAACTTTCAATGTTGAATTTTCTTAAAAATAATACACAAAAAATTTGATTTCACATTTTATGCTTATGTTTAAATGTTTAAATGAGAAATTGTCTTTTCATTCGTATCACATATAATAAAAAAAAAATTTCAAAATATATTTCTTCTCGTCACATTTTTATCTCCATATCTTCAATTCCTCTAATTATCTTTTTTAACTATTTTAACTATTTTAACAAAATATTACGTTTTCAAAATAAAGAAAGCAATACCTCAATTGCAAATACATTATCAAACCATTGTATAATTAAAAAAAAAAAGAAATAAAACAGAAAAAAAAGGATGAAAGATGGCAAAATACGTAGAGAGAAAAATAGAAGAGAAAAAGAGAAATACAATCGAGTAAAAATTAAAACTGAGCAAATCTAATTGCAACTAATCATATACATTTTACACGTCATAAATTGAATACCTAATTTAAAATATAGTCTTTCTTAGATATCTATATCGATCGATCAACTGCTGTTGAGTAAATAACCGCGCAAAAAACCTAAAAAACTAGAAGGAAAACAAGAAGCACGAGCGGCCACGCAAAGGACAGAGGATATTCGATATTGAAAGGGTGAGGATTCGTGTGATGGTTGCTTTAGGGTTCAGGATACCTTGACACGCTCCAAGTCCACAGCATTCATCATAGTGCCCTGAAAAAACTCCACGGTCGTGTAATGCCTCTTCAGAAGACCCTCCAATTCGAGATCTGGCTCTTTCCTGGAAACACAGATCACTCCTTACGACAATGACGATCAGACCTCATGGCTCGATCAATCGAAACACGTGGTGCATTGGAACACCAGATACCCTTGGCCTTTCTCTATACTATATATTTCGGTACATCCTGTTCCCTCTCTCTGTTGACCATCGAAACATTAGCCTTGACATTAAGCTCTTAAATTAACATTCGCATTGACCCAAAAGCCCGCATTGAAAATGGAATAATAAAAGAAATAAGATCGGTAGTGTCTGATCGTCTTTAGTCGTATAACCGCTGGAAAGCTGATATATACAATTGTGAAACCTAAGCAAATCGTATTGCCTACACTTACCCCAAGTCGTCACAACATTACGATTAATTACAGGCGTAATTTATTACTCTTTTCGTGATAATCATCGATATCGCATGACATTGTTTTTTGACGTGAGTGACTGCTTATCGGTAACGATTACAGTAGCAGACTTACTTAATTTTATATCGTTTAGCACATGTGTATAAACGCATCATCGCGTTTTTTATTTATTTAAATTTATTTTTAACGTGAGGTGACTCAAATGTGAAGAAAATCGTTGTAAATATATTAATTGAATTTTAATAACAATTGGGAATTATTTTTGTATCGTAATAAAATCGATCTGATCGATCTCGATATAGAATATTTTCAGCAAGTGAGTTAGGACATGGAAGGATAAGTGTCAAAACATCCTGTATAATCATATTAAAAAAAAAAAAACTGTCTGCAATTAATGCTGCACATGCTGAGATTATACAGAGATTCGTTGACCGAAATGAGACCATAATTGGGAAGATAGATATGCATCAAGGTCTGATTAAGAGTGAAATAATAGATATCGGACTGATAATCATACCTATGCAAGAAGACAACTTCCACGTCGACGTCCTCGCGGTCCTCGTGCAAGAAGTCCTTGAGGAAGTGCGAGACTGATTCGTAGGTGATGTGGCCACACACGACAATATGTCTGCCAACACAACGAACGAATTAGATTCCACTCCCGATTAAAGTAACACGGATGATCGAAAATAAAAAAAAATAAAAAAAAAACAAAAGAAGATAAATAAAAAAAAAATACGAAGATTTACAAGCAACTACCATGTACACGCTCTATATATATAATATACATACATATGTATCAACCGACTAACGATTTCGTTACGTTTTTTTCTCTCTCTGATTGCCAGCCATCAGCTTTTGCTGTTTTTCTATTTGCTTTTTCTTTCTTTAACCACGATTCCTCGAGACAGAAAGACAGAGAGAGAAAGAGAGAGAGAGAATATATACACTTGTCGTGATGCCGCTCGAGGGCGTAAATACGGTCAAATGAAAATATATACGCGCGAAAATATATACGACGCAACCGACTGAGAAAAAAAAAAAATATGGAGAACGTATTTTCGTATATACCAGTTTAGTCTGCTGCCACAATAACAATATTCGATTCAAAGATCTATCGAAAACAATATTATTATTCTAGTTATATAATAATTTGGAATAATATATATATACAATCAGTCGCAAAAGTCTTTACATAATTTATATAATTCATATGAATTGTATTGTCAGAAGCAAAAAAGAGTTTTGTTTTTAACGAAACTTTGAATATGTATAGAGCAGAATGAGTTATATGATATTTGATAATAAAATTCGAGAATTCGTCGTGGTTAAATTACGTATTTCACTATTAGATGTCACTGTCAACCTCGAAATATTCCTTTTCGGAAGGATGTCAATGTTCTGTCCACTTTTCCAAATAATTTTGTGAAATGTAACTTTAGACCTGGCATTATGTTATTCTCAATGCCATTAATGTCATAAAATGCTTTTCTTTCAAGCTTTCAGTTACTGAAATAATTTGTTTGGAATTGGAACATTCTTCTCGTTCATTGAATCTAATAATTTTTTTTTTTTGTTCTCAAAAGTAAAAACATTTTTATGGCTTTAATGACATCAAGAAATTTCCAAAATTGTTTTTGAAAAATATATAAATCATCGTATAGCTTTCAAAAAAGAGTATTTTGAAGCTTATTATAGTAACATTCAACAATAAAATATATATATATATACAATTTTACGATGAGTTCATGAACTTTTTATATCGTGTAAAGTAACTTTTTTAAGTGAAATATTACTTTGAAAAAGTAAAATTAACTCTCAAAAGTTTTCAGAATCCTTTTTTATCTTTTTTTTTTCTATTTTATAATGACAAAACTTTAAAACAAGTAAATAAAACAAGTTTCAATACATTATTACTTTATTATAAAAATATGTCCAGACAGAATGTAAAATTTTTTCAAAGAGATTTGAACAAACTCATTATGCTCTACATATACATAATCTTTTATTAATTTAATTTTTTTTTAAAATAGTAAAAAGTCTCTCGCGACTTGTATAATCACGAATCTTGTGAAAAACAATTATTTGAAAATTAAAGATCGAAGAAATATTTATTAGAAAAATCGCGATCCCCGCGTATTTGATAAAAAATTATACATACATTGAACATAGACGTATAATATATATATATATATAATATATATATATATATATAAATAAAAACTAATTAATGTGACTAAACTTACCAGAACTGCGATAGGAATTGAGGTGAGTCGTTTTAGCCGACTAACGTGATCGAATAACTATGCACACGCGCTCGCTGCATGCGAGCACGCGAACGTTATACACACAACATACGTGGTAAATCATCTGTGCTAGACATACATTATACAATAAACATGACAAAAAATTGGATGAAAATATGTAGAGTGCAGGCTCATTGAGACGGTTCGATCCTTGCAATAAAATTATACAAGCACAAGACTCATTATTCTTTTTTCCTCTAATTTGTGTTAATCACTACGTGCGGTGTGGATTAATAAATCACATATTCTCACTAATTATAATAATAAATTCATATAAATAGACAAAAAAAATACTGCCTAAAACTGACGAAAAAAGTGTTATTGCATCGAATAAGAAACACTTTACCATAGACATTCCATGCCCAATCCTTTTCTACTTGATATGCATTGATATCTAAAAATGCGAGGCTCATCATGAACTCAGCTGACACAGACAATTTTCTTTTTTTTTTTTTCTTTTGTTTCCCAGTGATCGATCGACGCTTTACAGATTGAAAAAAAAACGAAATAATATATTAAAAAACACACGGATTTTGTGTGCCACTGAATCCAGCATGGGCCAAAATACATGATATCAAGCCTTACATGATATTAAGCCTTAGAGATGAGGTTATCTTTTTAAAATCTACTTGTACGGGGCCGACGCTTTTGTTACGTGAATGTCGATATATACGTGAGTGTCGTGTATATATATATATATATGAGAGAAATTATGAGTATATATTGTGTATATTATTGCCTAATAGAATGAAGAATCTTCACGTGTTGTTCGAGTTCTATCTTGCCCATGTAATAGATAGATAGACAGAAAGAGAGAGAAAGAGAAAAAGAGAAACAGAGAGAGAAAGAGAGAGAGAGAGAAAAAATCGAAAATCGTGGAAAAATGTTATCGTACATTCGAGAAATTCGAACGTTTACTCATAGTATTTTTTGTAATATTTGTCGATCGATATAAGACGATACGAAAATTTACAATATTTTAATATTTTACATGAATATGATACAGTCTCGTGTTGAGATTAGGATTTCGCTTCTCGAATTTTTCTCGCGATTCATGATGCATCTTGAAAAAATCGCCGCAAATTCATGCCTGTCGGTAAGCTATATGTAAACAAATATCTCTCGAGGAGCAGTTAAAGTTAATGATCACATATGAAATATAGAGAAAAATGAACATATAGTGAATACATTCGACGAGTGACACCTTGACTAATATATTTGTCACTAGGACACTGCTCGGTGTAAGTACGTGCAACGATCAACAGTATCGTCGTAAATAATTGTCTCTGTGTACATATATGAGATCGAAAAAAAAAGAAAAAAAAATGACTATGAATTATACAGAGTGAGTTAAGTTAGAGGATAAAAGACCGAAATATCTTTCTCGAGAGTTGAAAGTAAAGGAAAAAAGATTCTTATTCACTTTAATATTATTTTTTTTTTTTTAATTAATTCGGGGATCGTTACTTTCAAAGTTATCCACGTTATCATTGCTTCTAAATAAATCTACAAGTTTTTTTTTTTCTCGATACGTTTCTCTCGACGAAAATCTTTAATCCTCGAGATGTGACACCGGTCGAACGATTCTTTCTTGAAAAAAAGAAAAAAAGAAAAAAAATGTTGATTTAACGTATGAAAATAAAAAAAAAAGAAAACTTAAATTATTCCGAAAAACACGAGCAGTAAAAAAATAATTATAAAAAATTGTAATTTTAATGGATCGTTTCTAAAAAGAAATGCATTGGTGCCAAAGGACATTGATCGAAATATTTTGCAATTGTATCAAATCATTATTCATATGTATATATAAATATATATATATATATATATATAAATATATATATATATATACTTTGGAAATTTTATTAACGTTAACTACGACATGCAAGGAATAAACATATAGATTCATTTAGGAAGAGATTGATAACCTTGGTAACTCTGAAAAAAAAAATATTGAAAACATAATCTATATTTATATATTTTATTAAAGGCATTATTTATCATTTGTTGATGGCTCACTCTGCACACTCGTATGCATAATTGTGTATATAAGTAATTTAACATTCATATAATTGAAAGAACTAATACCGATGATATTGAGTTTATTGTCATCTTATAATAAAAAGCACAAATCACGCTGACATAAATTATAAATGAAATTTTTAATTCAAAAAGAATACGTACATATATATATATGTAGGACTATACAAATTTTCCCTAATCTAAAAGATTTGATTATTGGCCCATTGACAAAATTCCATTTCGTTCTGAATAGCGCGTGACACATGATTAGCAATATACAAGTACATATATGCGTATATATATAACTTTATATATGTGTATCGATGATATACGTATATAAAGCGTATACAGGACGAGTCATATAAATTGTTATCCGAAAATAGTCTCGAAAACTATCAAAAACATAATTTTTCTTTTGAATTGATCATGTTGTTATATCCGAAGAACAAAAGGAAGTTTATTCTATACTAAATTACGAATTAATAAAAATTATCAAAATTATATATTCTTATTCTGTAAAATTTAAAAAAAAATAGTATTAATAATATTAATAGTATTAATAGTATTATAAAGAAATATTATGCAATTTTAAAATCTTTACGCAAATGATTATAAAATTAATATATCTAGTATTTTAACTTTTTTAAATAATCACTTTCTAATGTAAATAAATAGAGAAGGGGAAAATTATATTATTCAATTACAAATTAAAAATAATAATTTGTGAAAATTATTATCAATAACGTATTCTTTAAAATTTTTATATTTTTTTTTACAATGAATCGTTACATGCATGTAACGACTTATTAAATCATGAATTAAATTAAACATTTATATAGAAATTTATACAGAAATAGTAATATATACTGCATATATATACTGCAGTCATATGTTTTCATAGTTTTAGAGAAATTATTTTGTAATAATTCACATGATCCATCCTGAGAGCTTATAATCCAAGGCGAAATTTCACTTTACCACTGTCCTTTCTCCAAGATTTACACGTAAAAACAATGATTAATGCTGTCTAAAACACCAAGGTTATTACACTTAAATATTGCATTAGATCATATACATATATATGATCTAAATTTAAGTTGGAAATGCAGGGTACATGCTGGGCGTTGACCCTTTGCACTCAGAGAGAAATACAGCTCCAACATTTACTGCTTTCCTTTTCTATATCACATTCGCGTAAATATGATTGCACGAGTGACAGATTTGCATTTAACAAAACGAAAATTTATAAATTTCCATTTTATGATAAAGTATAATAACAATTTTAAATTATGAAATCAAG